GAGGTTCTTATTACTCTAATGAATTAATAAAAATTGATTAAAAAATGAATTATTTTGAAAGTGACGATAAATACTTTTATTTAACTAATAATAATAACGAATGTACTGTAGAAGTAGATTATAATCCATCCATATTTTTTAAACAACCACAAGAGTGTGCTTTAGCTGAGCTAATTATTCCTAAAAGGCTTGATTTAAAAGAACCTTTAGAAAATTTAGTTCTTACTTATAATTTCAAATGGGTACCAGAATCATTTTATGGTGACATAAAAAATGATATTGTTGAGCACGATAAACATAGATTAAGCAATATTACAAAATTTGTTGTGCAGTTTGATTCAAATTATTCATTAGGAGAAAATATAACTGAAAATTACGAAATATTACATAACAAAGATATTCATTGGAAAGACCATATAAAAGAAATTATAACTAAAATTAATGGAAACATTGAAAATACTATTAAAAAAAGATATCCAAAAACATTCAAAATGCCTTCAACAAAGGTAATTGGTAATTATGGAGAATACAGTTCTGGTTTAGAATGGAGAATTAATAATATTGTATTTGATTTTGATAGTACAAAAAATATCTATAAAATTAAAAATGGAAATTTTTATATGCCAACAAAATTTTGGTATAATTTAGATGATGATGATGTTTTAATAAGTAAAGAAGAATATGAAAAAATAAAACCAACAAATAAAAAAGCAATACCTGACAATGAAAAGAAAGTAGAATATTATTTGTTAAGAGGTGTTTTTTATATTGATTTTAACGAAAATTTAAAAAAACTATTAGGTTTGAAAAATTATAATATAAATAATTTATTTGATAATTTTTCCTTATATAAAATAATAAACAATGAAAAAATTAATTTAACATATCAAAATTCTGACATTCCTAACGCTTTAAAAACATCTATTAAAAATATAGAAGAAATTAAAAGTGATGTTCGTCCATTAAGTGTCTCGAGAAATATAAATTATTTAATTGTTTATTGTAATATAATTATTGAATCTAATTATCAAAATAAAAAATCTAATATATTAAGAATTATCCCTACAAATATTTCGGAAAAAGATGATGTTATAAAAATTGATTTCAACGTTAAAAATTTTATACCATTAAAATACAATGAATTTAATACAATCACTTTGCGTATCACTGATGAAGAAAACAACAATCTTATTTTTAGAAAAGGAAAATTATTTGCTACGCTTATAATAAGACCTCAGTACAAAATATAACTTAGTTGTATTTTTATTAGCAACATGTGTACATCTTATCAGAATGGATTATAATTCATATTATTGTGCACAAGCAAAAAATAATCAAAAAGGTGAAGGAATACCAATTCAAGGTATAAATCAAATTGAACCTAATAATATTGATTTTTTGCCACATAAATCAAAATCTGTAAAAACTAAAATTTATAAAAACAAAGTTTCTGGTTTAAGAAGAAAACCCAGAACTAATAAAAAAAATAAAAAACGATTTATTAGAAAATCAAAAAAAGGTAAAAATAAACAAAAACGTAATTTGGATATATTTGCTTAAATATGGCAACTGAAATTTTAAAAGATGAATTAGATTTATTTGAAAAAGTAAAATATCAAGGAACAATTGAAAGTCAACAAATACTTGAATATCGACCTAAATCAAATGTAATAGATTCAAACACAATTGATTTTGAAATTCAAGCATCAGCTGATGAGTATATTGATATGCGAAATATTTATTTATATTTGACTTGTAAATTAACAAACAGAGACGGAACAAATTTTGCAGCAGCAATTAATAATTTTGCGCCGACTAATTACGTTTTAAACACAGCATTTGATCAATTAGCTATTTATCTCGGATCAACATTAGTGAGTCAAGCTGCTCAAAATTATAATTATATGTCATTTATTGAAGCGGTTACTGAGCAATCAAATTATTCTAACTCAACTGTTGCATCATCTGGCTTTGTTACAACTTTTTGGACACCAGCATATAATTATGAAAATCCAAATGAACACTTAGCAACTTTATGTAATGCTAGTAAAGTAATGCAATTTTACGGAAAATTACATGGGCCAATATTTACAACAAATAAATTATTAATTAGTGGTGTACCAATTAAATTAGAATTTACTAAAGCAAATGAAAGATGGCCAACAGTTTCTGAAACAGCAGCAATGACAGCAGATCAATATCCTTTGTTAAAAATTACAGATATGAGTGTTTTTGCTCGAAAAGTTAAAGTAACACCAAATTTACTTAATGCACACGCACAAGCATTAAGAATTTCTAATGCATTATATACAGTTAAACGACCTAATATTAAAGTAATTAATTTAACTCAAGGACAATCAACTTTTAATATAGATAATTTATATCTAGGTCAATTACCTAGTAAAATTATTTTAGGTATGGTTGACGATGCAGCTTACAGAGGAAATAGTTATCGAGATCCTTTAAGATTTCAAAATTTTAATTTAAATAGTTTAAGTTTAAATGTCAATGGAGATATGATACCTAAAGTACCGTATCAACCTAACTATACAACAGATTTATTTGCTAGAGAATACCACGATTTATTATTGAATTTAGGATATAATTACGTTAATAACCCATCTCCAATTGACGTTAAAAATTATAAAAATGGATTATGTTTATATGCTTTTAATTTAAATAATGATTTTAGTTTTACTAACAAATATATAAATTTACCTAAAAGTGGATATATTAATGTGCATTTAAAATTTTCAGAAAATTTAGCAAATGCTATAAAGTTAATTTGTTATGCTGTATTTGATAATACTATAGAAATTGATGAAAATAGAAATGTAACTACTGATTACTAAACATGAATTCTATTCAAATATTAAGTTTTATTAAAAGAGATAAAATAGCAAAAAAACAATTTTGTGGTGTTTTAGCTTTAAATCAGATAAGTTATATAAAAACTATTAAACCGTGTGCATTGATTGTTAACACACATAAATCATCACAACCTGGAGAACACTGGTTTGCTATATATGTTCCACTTACTGGACCAATTGAATATTTTGATTCATTTGGAAGAAAACCTTATCACCCAGAAATATATTCCTTTATTAAATTAAATGGTAAAAAATATATATTTAATCAAATACCATTACAACATTATTTGTCAACTACTTGTGGTTATTATTCTATATTTTATATATTACTGCGAACAAGAAATTATAGTCTTAAAAGAATATTAAACTTTTTTTACGTAATAGATTATTGAATGATAAAATAATTATTAAAATAATTAATAAATTAAAAAAAACATGAAATCGGTTAGATTCTGTGATAATGTACAAGTAAAAATAATGTATGTTTGGCCATATGCTTCTAAACAAGCAAGAATTTCTAATTGGCATTGGATAGTATGGGATAGACGTATTCATGAAATAAAATGTAAACTTATTGGAGAAAATATATCTTATGTTTTAGAAAAAGAATTTCGAGAAAAAATTTTTAATGAACGTTTTACTAAATAATGTTATTTTTTATTCATGTAAAATATTATTAAGAAATAAAAATTTTTTGTTTTAATACAATAATTGCATTACAAATTGGACAATTAGTTAATTTCATTGAACATGTATAACAAGTTAATAAATGAGAACATGGAAAAAATACAATATCAAATTCATTTATATAACATATTTTACATAACATGTTATTTTCTATCTTATTATTCATTATTACATTAGTTATATCAAAACATTTTATTTTATCATTATTTAGTCTTTCATTATGAATTTTAGTACATTCTTCTATGAAAACTAAGCTTTTATTTTCACGCAAAAATGCACAATGTGGATAATATTTCGCATGTTCAATCCATGGATCATCACCAGGTAACCATAGACATAGTCCACCTTTGCATTCATAACATTTCAAAAATCTTGTAATCCAATTGAGTAAAATCCTGCTTCAGCAAATTGTTGATAATTATTTACTGTAATCCTTTCTGTCCATTGAAAATTTTTATATGACTCTAGTCTTTTATTTAAGTCACTGTAATTTATATCATCCATTTCACTTGTTCACTACTTTTACATAAAGACTATTATGACTTGAAAATTTATTATACAATTGCTTTTATACTATATTTTTGTACAATGAAACAATAAAAAATATATCTCCAATAAATCTAATTAAATGTATAAAATATTAATTTTTCTAAATTTATGTCTATATATTATGGTAAAACTCTGGTAAAGGAGCTTTGTGTTATTCAAAATAAATAAAATTAATTTTTTAATGTTTATTTTATATAGTATTAATAAAATAAATTTTTTTTTCAAAATTGATGTGTATGTTTTATTTAAAAACGTGGTCAAAGGAGGTAAGTGTTAAAACCTAGACAACATATTAAGATATATAGTTTTTTAAAAAAAAAATTAAATAAATAAATAATTGCAATAATAATTTGCAATTAATAAAACTATAAAAATATTTATAATTAATAAAAAAAAAGTTTATTATACATAATGATTATTAAATATTAATAATAATTTATAGATAATTATTTATGAAAAATAACTTAAATATTTTACATCAACAAAAAAAACTATTACGCACTAGTTAGTTTGCTAAAAAAATAAAATAAATAAATTTAATTAACTTTTTAAATATTTTTATTGATATTTAATAGATATTTTAATGATTTTAATAACTTTAATGACTAATCTTAAATATATATAAATATATATAAATATATATTTATATACTGTATATATACTGTGTATATATATATATACTGTATATATTAACAAATGCTTTGTTAAAAAACTTGTTAAATATTTTTATTAACAAAAACATTATTAATGTTGTTGTTTGATACTTATTTATTTAGTTTGTTTTAACTATTTTTTTGTTTGTTGAAAAAAATTAAAACTAAAAACTAAAAACTAAATAAAATGTCAATTATCAATAATATAATGAATTTTATTTCATATAATTTGTTAACAATTAGTTTATCAATTATTAGTTCAATAGTAATTTATTCGGTTATGTAAGTTTTATTTTTATTTTTTTTATTTTAATAAATATAACAATATTTTAAATGTTTTTTATTTTTTTAACAAACAAATATAAAAATTACTTTTTTTATTAATTTTTTTTATATAAATATAGTCAATTCAATGTACACTTTAACCATTGGAAACGTTTAGGAATTGCCGGACCCATACCTATGCCAATCTATGGCCACTATTTGCATACTATATTCAATCATCATTATAAACTAATGTTATCATGGACAAATAAATATGGATCGGTTATTGGGTTAGTAATTTAATATATAGTAATTATTTATTTATTTATTTTTTTAAATAAATATAATAATAATAATTACATGTTATTTGACTGATAGTGAATGTAAGTGTGTGTATAAGTGTATGTGAGTGTATGTTAGTGTGTGTGTGTGTGTGTGTGAGTGAGTGTGTGAGTGTGTGAGTGTGTGAGTGTATGAGTGTGTGAGTGTGTAAGTGTGTGAGTGTGTGAGTGTGTGAGTGTGTGAGTGTGTGAGTGTGTGAGTGTGTGTGTGTGAGTGAGTGTGTGTGAGTGAGTGTGTGTGTGTTTGAGTGTGTGTGTGTGTGTGTGTGAGTGAGTGATTGTGTGTGTGAGTGAGTGAGTGAGTGAGTGAGTGATTGAGTGAGTGAGTGAGTGAGTGAGTGAGTGAGTGAGTGAGTGAGTGAGTGAGTGAGTGTGTGTGTGAATGTTTGTGAGTATGTGTGTGTGTGTGTGAGTGAGTGAGTGAGTGAGTAAGTGAGTTAATGTATGTATTATTATTATTATTGTTGTTATTATTGTTATTATAATATTAATTTTTAATAATTTAATTGAAAAAATCAAAAAAAAAATTTCAATAAAAACACTAAACATTATTATTATTATTATTACTATTATTATAGGACATACCGTTTTTCTAGACCTGAGCTAATCATATCGGATAGGTTGGCCATTAACCAGATATTAAGTTATAATAAATCAAAATTCGGTAGACTTAGGGAATGGTATCTAATGAAACATTTGACTGATTATAAAAAATATTTTTTCGATCACAACAAACATAGTTTTCAATTGATTGATAAAATATTTAAAGGCGATAGACTTAGACATTATGAACAATTATCTAGCAATGGTTGCCAACAATATGCTAATGATTTGGCCAATCATATCAGGAATTTAAATCCAACTAATCCCGCTAATCCTACTAATGCTAATCCTAATGCCAATCCTAATGCTAATACTAATGGTATTCCTAATGGTATTCCTAATGGTATTCCTAATGGCATTCCTAATGCTATTCCTAATGGTATTCCTAATGGTATTCCTAATGGTATTCCTAATGGTATTCCTAATGCTATTCCTAATGCTATTCCTAATGGTATTCCTAATGCTAATCCAATTAATCCCAATCCAACTAATCCTAATCTACTAAAACAAAAATATGGTCTATCAATGGGCAAACTAGACATCCGATTAGTTATCCGGGAATTACTAATGAATCTACTGATTGAACAATCGTTTGGCCATAGTTTTCATGAATTAGGTCTATCCCCCGATAAATTTAGGGATAGTATGCCCCGATTCAATAGGAATCGCCGTATATTGATGTCGACAATGCTAGTACCCAGGCTAATCAAACCGTTGATGTCCATCTATGGTCGGCTGTTTGGCGAAACTCAACGTTATTTTATCGATAGCCTACATAAGCTGATCCAGCATAGACGACTGGCCAATCAATTGGACAATAATAATAAACCGATGGATTTTCTACAATATTTTCTCGATTATCAGTACACTAATAATGGTTCAAAACCAATGTATTTGACTGACAATGAAATTGTTAGCGCATTTTATGTCAGCTATTTGGCCGGTTATGAAACAATGACAATGGTTTTGGTTATGTCTATCTACGAGTTGGCCCGTAATCCTGAAATACAAAACCGATTGTTTGGCGAACTAACTGAACTGAATAATAGTAATCTAACTAATATGCCTACCGATACTAATATGGACGACACCAACAGTATACTACAGTTGCCGTATCTGAACGCCATTATTCACGAAACTATACGTATGAATCCGTTTTTCATTGGCAACCGTCGGGCCCTAGAAGATGTCCATTTGCCGGATGTAGGACTGACCGTACCGAAAGGTATGGACGTCGAACTGGCCTTCATAGCCATGTACTACAATCCGGAATATTTTCCCGATCCGTATGTCTACAATCCGGATAGGTTTTTGTCGCCCGCAGTCGACAAACAAACCCCGAATACGTTTATGCCGTACGGTTACGGTAAGGCTATATGCGTTGGCCGACGGTATGCTAAAGTAGTGTTGAATCATGTGTTGGCCAAACTTGTCCAGCGATTCCAGTTCGAGACAATACCCGAAACAGAAATACCGTTTATGTTTAATAGATGTCCGGATATTTTGTTACCGAAATCTATTGAACTTAATTTTCGGATTAGAAATTGAGGGAAAATACTAGTAATAATAATAATAATAATAATTTTTTTATAGATTTATTTTTTAATTTTATTTTTAGTATTTTTTTAAAAAAATCTATAATCAAGAAATTTTTTACAATTATTATTATTATTGTATAACTATTTTAATATATTTTTTTGTTTGTTTGTTAGTTTGTTAACTTTTACTTAAAATATTTAGATTTAGTTTTTATTTTTTGATTTAATAATTTTATATTATGTTATATATGTATTTTTTTACTAAAATATATAAATTTCAAATGATTTAAAAACAAAATTTATTATATAATTATTATTTATATTTATTTATATATTACTTATTTTTTTTAATTGTTCTATAAATTTTGTGTATTTATATTTTTCTAAAATAAAAAAATAAAATATATAATAATTATATTAATTAGTAATTAATATATTAAATAATAAATATTTATAGTATTACTAGTTTCTAAGTAATAGTATTAATAAAAGCATGTAATCAAATTCAAATTTATTTATATTTATCATATGTTTGTTAAAAAAACAACAAAAATCTAGTTTTAGTTTTTTTATTAAATTGTATTTATCTTTGTATTAAATTGTATGTAAAAAAAATCTTTAAATTAGTATGTTTTGAAAACTATTACACAGATATTTAATAATTATTTTTAATATAATAATATTAATTAATTAAAGTTTCTTAAAAATAATATAATTATATTTAATAGATATATATCATAGTTTGTATTAGTTTATAATTTTAGTTTAGCTAAAACATAGAATTATTTTTAGTAAAACAAGAAATATATTTTTTTAAAATTACAAATAATCAATTAATTATAACTTAATTATAAAAATTTTAAGTAAAGATTTAATTGATATTAATATTTAATCTCTGTTTTTAATAAAATAATGTACAAGATTAATTTAATTTATTTAAAAAAACGTTTTTAAATTTAATATTTTTTTAAATTTTATAAAATAGATATTAAAATATCTAATTTGCAAATTAATTCAAATAATAAATATAGAGGAGAAAATTATTAAAATTAAAAAAATTTATTAATTATTTTTATTTATTTATTTTTATCTCCATAATTAATTATACTAAAAAAATAATTTTAAAAACGTTAAAAAATAGTTTTACTAAATTAATATAATAAAATATTAAAAAAAATAATTTTAAATAAAATAAATAAATAGTAACATTTAGTTTGCTATTGATATTTTAATTTAGGAAATATAATTTTTTTATATACCACTACTACTACTACAACAACTACTACAACTACTACTACTACTAATAATAATAATAATAATAATTATTATTATTATTTTTTTATACATTTGTTTTTTTAATATTTTTAAAAAATCTATGATAAAGAAATTTTTTAAAATTATTATTATTACTGTATAACTATTTTAATATATTTTTGTTTGTTTGTTTACTTTTACTTAAAATATTTAGAATCTATTGGAATAGTAGGAAAGTAATTCACATCACTATCCAAACTATAAAAAATGACAAAACTTTTATTATCAAATAAAAGTACACAATTTTTTAGGCCACTAAAATTTTTTTCACAACATTTGCTCATTTGGTTCAGTTTTGGTGACTTCTTAAAGTGTGTAATGTCTGAAATTTCAATTAATTTTGGTTCTCGCGATATTCGGGAAATAATTGCATATTATTATCGGCTCGCGCTGTCGGCACAGGAGCCAACAGATGAAATTAATTGCACATTGGGAACAAATACTGGTATTTAAGCTACAGTATCGCATTGATAACGTTACTTCAAATTTGGTCGTACATCATTGAGGACATCCCGAAGATGGGTCAATCACGGGAAGTGACCACCGATGAAAATGTGGCCAGAATTAGGGAACTGCTACAAGAATATCCGCGAATAACGCTATTACAGATGGCTTATATACTGAATATCTTAAACGAGAGAGTACATCATATTCTGCACAATTATAGCAACGCAAGACATATTTGTATCAAATGGGTACACCACTTGTTGTCGGCCGACCAAATGGCTACTCGTGTTAAGATCTGCCGGGAGAATCTGAAGATTTTTGAAAATGGCGGCAATCACTTTATTTATCGATTAGTGAATGGTGACGCAACATATGTGTACTTTTATCACAAATTAAACAGTAAAAAAGCATAGTTATGGGTCATAGAAGATGAAGAGATCCCGAAGTTGGCCAAACGTGAAGTGCATGTAAAGAAGATAATCTACGCCATATTTTTTCGTTCGACTAGTATTGTGAAAATTTTCAAATTGGGAAATGGATATAAGGTTACCACCGACTGGTATGTGAAAAAATGGTTGTCTAAAGTCTTTGAATCTATCAATGAGGATCGCCCGAAGTCTGGACTAACTGGCATTATAATGTATCACGATAATGCCAAGTCTCACAAAACATTGGTAACAACCCGATATCTCGATGACAATGGTGTTCAACTTTTAACACGCCCACCTTACAGTCCTGATCTGTCTCCAGCTAATTTTTGGCTTTTTAAAAATCTCAAGAAACACCTAAGAGGAACGGTATTTAATAGCAAAATTGATATTGACAACGCTTTTGAGTCATTTTGGGAGACCTAAAACCAACCGACTGGCGTGGGGTCTATGAGAAGTGGATCGACCGTATGAAACTTGTTATACGGCCTAACGGATACTATATTTAAATAATATTAGAAAAAAATTTGATTAAAATTGTCTTAACCTATCTAGGCTAATTTCATTTCAACCAATCTAATATAATCAAGAATATAAATTTTTTTACAATTATTATTATTATTATTTTATTATAACTATTTTTATATTTATTTTTTAACTTTTACTTAAAATATTTAGATTTAGTTTTTTTTTGATTTAATAATTTTCTAGATTTGTTTTTTTGAGGAACTAAATTTATTATAATTATTATTAATTTATTTATATGATACTTATTTTTTAAAAAAAATTGTTCTATAAATTGTATGAATTTTCAATTTTATTTCTAAATAAACAAAAATTTATTAAATTAATAAATAATAAGTATATTATTTTAGTTATTAATATATTAAATAATAATTTATTATTATATTATTAGTTAGTTTCTAAGCATGTAATCAAATTCAAATACTATTTATTTATTTATATATCATATGTTTATTAACAAAAATCTAGTTTTAGATTTTTATTATTATTTTTTTTGAAAACTATTACATTTCAAATCAACAGGTATTTAATAATTGTTTTTACTATAATAATAATAATGTTAATTAAAGTTTTTTTTTACAAAATAATATAATTATATTTACTAGATTTCATAGTATGTATTAGTTTATAATTTTAGTTTTTTGCTAAAACATACAATTATTTTAGTCAAACAAGACATTTAAAAAATTACAAATAATTAATTAATTATAAGTTAATTGTAAAAATTTAATGTAAAGATTTTAATTGATATTAATATATTTAATCTCTGTTTTTAACATAAAATAATGTACAAGATTAATTTAATTCATTTAATAATTATATTAAAAAAGCAAAAATTTTTAAATTGCAATTCTTTTTTTAATTTTATAAAATAGATATAATAATATCAGTTATCAATAAAAATTCATCAAAAAATTACTGTATAAATTAAATATAAATATTAGATATTGTATAGGCTATTTTTTAATAAATATTTTATTGAAATTATTAATAATTTATTTAAGGAAAATAACTTGAATAATTTTTAAAAAAAACTATTACGCACTAGTTAGTTAGGTTATTTTATTTTATTTTTATTTTATTAATATTTAATAAATATTTTAATGACTTATAAAAAAAATCTTAAAAATATATTTTTGCAAACTAACTAGTGCGTAATAGTTTTTTTTAAAAATTATTCAAGTTATTTTCCTCAAATAAATTATTAATAATTTCAATAAAATATTTATTAAAAAATAGCCTATACAATATCTAATATTTATATTTAATTTATACAGTAATTTTTTGATGAATTTTTATTGATAACTGATTTTATTATATCTATTTTATAAAATTAAAAAAGGATTTGCAATTTAAAAATTTTTGCTTTTTAATATAATTATTAAATGAATTAAATTATATAAATATAAATACTAAGTTAAAACTTTATTTATTTTATATTTTTTAATAATTTTATTATTCATATTAAGCTTATTTATTTAATTTGATTTAGTCTTTTATAAATTAAAAATAAAATAATATTGACATAGTATATTTGTTAATCAAAAATAATTAGAAAAAAATAGTTAAATAAATTAATAATAACATTTAGTTTGCAATTGACATTTTAATTTTTACAATTATTATTTTTTACATGAAATTATGTCTATAAATAAATTAAAATATATATTAAATTATAAATTACCATATTAATTTATTGTACTTTATTTTAAAAATATATAATTATTTTATTTTTACTAATTAAATAGTTTGTGTACATCAAAAAAAAAATATTTATTTATAAATACAAATAATAAAAAAATACAATAATAATAATAATAACTAAATTAATGGCATCAAATATAATCTATATATATATGTTTAATTATTATATTAATTAACATGCTGTATATAAAATAATAAAAAATTATTTTTAAATATAAATATATTAATAAATGTTTGTAAACTTTAAATTATAACAAAATTTATTATACAAAAAAATAATAAACAATTAACTTTTAAAATTACTTTTTTAATAATTTAATTTAGTTAATTAATAAAATTCTAATTTAATAAGCAAGCTAACAAAAATATTACAATTTGTCTACAAATTAAAATTATAATTTAACTAATGGCTACTACCAACACTACTACCACTACCACTACCACTACCACTACCACTACCACTACCACTACCACTACCACTACCACTACCACTACCACTACCACTACCACTACCACTACCACTACCACTACCACTACCACTACCACTACCACTACCACTACCACTACCACTACCACTACCACTACCACTACCACTACCACTACCACTACCACTACCACTACCACTACCACTACCACTACCACTACCACTACCACTACCACTACCACTACCACTACCACTACCACTACCACTACCACTACCACTACCACTACCACTACCACTACCACTACCACTACCACTACCACTACCACTACCACTACCACTACCACTACTACTACTACTACTATTACTACTACTAATACTACTACTATTACTACTACTATTACTACTACTATTACTACTACTACTACTACTATTACTACTACTACTACTATTACTACAACTACTACTACTACTACCACTACTACTACCACTACCACTACCACTACCACTACCACTACTACTACTACTACTACTACTACTACCACTACTACTACAACTACCCATTAACTAATGTACACAAAATACAATATTAAAATTATAACAATATCACAATCACATTCATACACCCATTCCTAGCCATCCACCCACCCCTACCACACAATTACTACTACTACTACTACTCTACTCAATTTCTACGCTTAATACAGCATTTAGTTTGATAGAAATTTTCGGGTACATCAAGTCCTTTGATCCAATCAGGCCTTGACTGGTCAACCGGTTCGGGCGGCAAACAAAACTCATACGCGTACATCATATGCGATAAAAATGATTTAACAACTAGTAGGCCTAAGCGGGTACCGCAACACATTTGTGGTCCCTGGCCAAACGACAACAAGGTATTTGAACCTAAATTAGACCAACGATTTTCGTTGGCCGGATCCAGAAACCTGTCGGGATTGAATTGGTCGGGTCGGGGAAACAGTTCAGCCGACTGGTGTATGGTTGTCAGTTGGACATCAATACGATCGCCCGGCGCCAGTCGTATACCCGGGAATATTCGGGCCGCTTCCGAATCCCGGCTGCCGGCAAACACACGGGACAATCGGAAAGCCGTGTTTATACGAAACAATTCTTTGACGACGGCGTCCAAGTATGGCAACTGTGTTAGCGTGTCGTAGGATAGCTTACGACGCCCGCGACTACCACTACCACTACTACTACTACTGTTAGCACCGGTAGTTGCTATGTTGTCCATCACTACTTGTTGGTCACTGTTTTCTAGCGCTTCCGCCAATTCGTTGTACATTTTTTTCTGTACCGCCGGATAACGGGCCAAATGTACGACAAATTCGCTTAGGGTATCGCCAGTACCGCCGATTAGGCCGAGAAACTGGACGACCAGATAGTAGGACATCATTTCGATGCTCAACGGATCCGTTAGACTAACTGTAAAAATTAAATATATATTTTTTGTTAAATAAAAGATTTAAAAAAACTAATTTAAAGTATTAAATGTGATTCAAAACAAATAAATAAAATAAATATTTTTTTTTATAATCTACTAATTTCCATATAGGGGTTATTCACATATTATGTTTGCATTTGGGGGGAGAGACGGGGGTTCGGTAGCCAAAAGCAAACTTTTCTAGCAAAAAAAACTACATTCAAGAAAAAAAACTACATTCAAGAAAAAACTAAAAACATAGGGGTTTAGGGGGTGGGGGTCTTAAATAAAAAGTGCGAACGTAATATGAGGAGAATCATCTCTAATAATAGAAACTTATTTCCACTAAAAAGATAAAAAATTAAAATTAAAACAAAATTATATATATATATATATATTAATAATAATAATTTCCTACCATTTTTATCAATCAATTTTAGATAACTGCCGACAATATCCAGGTTTTCATTTTTATCGGTGTTGTCGCCACCGATCGGCTTCTCTAGTCTTTCGATAAGATAGCCACTGATGAGGTGTTCAACTTCGCCGAGAGATTTACACAAATTATGACCCGTCAGCCAATTGACCACTGATTGGACAAACTCAGGCATACGTACATTCAGTTCACGCCATTTCATTTCGTCGTCCAATCGGAAACCGGCCGCAACTAATGACCAATACTGGCGATGTTTATCCGGATCCCGATCCCCATAGTTACCCATATGGCTGTCTCGGGTGAAAGCTTCGCCCATAAATATATCGACCGTTAAACGAGATATTTCGGCTTTGACTGCAAATTGTTGACCGTCTGTACCGATATTATTGGCAAAATGTTTGACCAGATTAGCCGAACATTGGTCAATAACTTGGTCGTACAGTACGCGCATTCGGGCGCTATTGAAAAACAGGGTTGTTTGGGTACGTATTTGTTTCCATCGACTTATATTGTTGTTCAAAAAACTGCCAACCCTGTTCATCTGATCCGGATACTTTAGATCCAGTCGATGAAATTGATCGAAATGTTTGACCAGGACTTTCTGGGCCAATTGAAAATTGCATACAGTCAGCACCGGGGTGTCAAATTCAAATATACTGGTCATCCCACCAAAAAAATAAAATTAAATATATAGAGAATATATATATACTGTATATATTTTAAAATTACTTAATTAATATATTTTTTAATTGTTTAATTAATATATTTTTTAATTATTTAATTAATATAATTTTTAATTGTTTAATTAATATATTTTTTAAATTACTTAATTAATATATTTTTTAATTATTTAATTAATAAATTTTAAATAATTTAATTAATATATTTTAAATTCTTTAAGTAAAATATATTTTATATTTTTAATTAAAAAAATAAACAATAGTTAGTAAATAATTAGTTAGTTAGAGTAGTAGTTAAAAAAAATAGTTTATATAAAATCATAAACAACAACAACAAATTTCAATGTTTTTTTAAACTAATTAATTATATATAACTATATTATTATTATTATTATATTACATGAAAAATATTTATATAAATAATATTATTTATTTATTTTTATTATATTTTAAAAATATAAATTAAATATATTAAAAATTATGTAAAAATTAACATTTTTTTTTACCCATAAATTCCAGATTTTCCATATTTTCTATACCAGGGTATATCAGTAGTGCCTTTTAATAGGTCCAATATATTGCCTAATAATGGCAATGGTCTAGGTCCATTTATACCCAATCGTTTCCAATGATTGACATTATTGTAATGATTTTTCAAAACTAAATAATATTCATATATTTTTTAAAAAAAAATAATAATATTTTAAATAATTATTTTTAAAACTAATTAATTAAATTATATATAAAAATAATTTTTTATTAAATACAATACCTATTAAAACAATTAATAATATAATTGCAATTAATGAAATAACAATCATAGTTTATATATTAGTATTATTATTATTATTATTAACTTATTTTAAAAATATTTTTATATAAAACTTTATTAAAATTTGTGGTTTTTTAGTTTTATAAATTTAGTTTTATAAACATCTATACAGTCATGTATTTAAATCTATACTAAAAAACAGATACCAACTTATAAAGTAATATTTAAAAAAATATTTTTATTTAATTACTTTATAGTTTCTATTTTAATATAAATAATTTAAAAAAAAAATTCTTATTTTTATTATTAAAAAATAATATTCATTAATGACTTTCATTATTAAACAATTTTATTATTATTATTATTTATATATAAATTTTTTAATGTAAAAGTCTAAGTAAAAAAATATATTTTTTTATAATAGATGTCATGACAACAAACATAATATTTTAAGTTTTTAAAATAAATATCTGAAAAATTATTAATTATAAATGTATTTAAAATTAAATTTCAAAATTTTTAATAAAAATCTGATCAATATTAGTAATCAACAAATGTTTTTAATATAATAATGTACAAGATTGATTTAATTATTTGATAAAAACATTTTTTTTTAAAAAATATTAATAGCATACATAACTTTTTTTTAAATAAATAAAAATAAAATTCAATATACACACTTGAAAAAGATAATAATATTATACTAATGCTAAATCAATATTTATATTTGTAAAAAATTATTGTATTAGTTGTATACAGTATACACTGTTTATTTTTTAAATAAAATTTTGTATATGTAACTTATTTATTTAAAAAAAATATTATCATTAATTTTAAACATTATATAAGCAACTAATCAATTCAAATAAAAAAAATTAAATATTTTCATATATTTTTTTATATTAATAAAAGTGTTTATTGTTTTGTATAATAATATTTTTTCAAAAAATCAGCATCCTAAGTATATATATTAAAATTTTACTAAAAAAATTTTTTTAAAACAAAAATAAATTGTAATTTATTTTTTGTCAAATTAAAATTTAATATTTATTAATTAATATAAATAATGATAACATATTTAATAAACTATTAATAAATTATATAAAAATTTATTGATTATTATTATTATTATTAATTATTGATTATTATCTTCATGTATGAATCGGGCGCCCATCTCCCCGGCCAACATTGCCGCGGCATTTGTATTGGCATTAATCATCTCCGGATATATGGATGAGTCGACTACACGCAAACCGCGTATACCTTTGACACGCAATCGGGGGTCGACTACAGTATCCCTACGCCGGGTATCACCCATACGACAGGTGCCGGTCGAATGGTGTTCACTGCCGGCCCAGTTATCTATCAGACAATCCAAATAACTGTCGCACTCGTATACAGGACCCGTTGGACAGTAACTACACGGTGGTACTGGTGTCTGGGGTAGACTAACATACTGGGCGAAACTGGTCGACTCGACAAAACGAAATGTTTCGGCTACTGCCTCCCTGAGCCGGTAGCGATCAATTGGTTTCGATAGGAAATTGGGATCAATTACCGGTTGATCAATCATACGATTTGATTGTAGGGTAATTGTACCCGAACTTAACGGTCTGGACAAACATGGCCACAATGCTATACAATCCCGTGATTGGAGTTCCCGTGAATAGTCTAGCATTTGTTTATTTAGCTGAGTATTTGAATCGGCCGATAGTTCGGCTTCGGCTATAAACGGTTCGGTACCGACCGGTGATATGTCGGCAAATATAAAGATATCGGGATAGTCGTCGTCGTCATCATCAGCGGCACCGTTGGTATTGTTGTCTACCATTGCCGCTGCCGTACCGGCCATTGTTGTCGACGACGACGGCAAATACATTATCGTATAGACAAACGACTGGGCCATCGGACCGCTGGCCCGGGCAGTAGCGTCGTATAGTTGCCGTAAATTATCCGTATCGACAGTTTCCGGCCAAATCATACCCGACTGTCTGATCGGGAATTCTAATGGCAGATATAGATGATTGTAATAGTTTTGGCCGACTCCGGCCAGATCGGAATAGATTTCATCGATACCGTCGATGGTCAGCAAATGGTCGGCCGGCCCGATACCCGACACCATTAGCAACTGTGGACTGCGTATTGTACCTAAAAAAAATAAATAAATAAATAAAAAATTTGATAATTATTTTTTTTTATGTATATAAATATTAATAATAAAATTAATATATTAATAATTAATCATTCATCAATTTTATATAGTTTATATTTTTACAGTATATATACTGTATGTATAGATATATATATATATATATTTAAAAGTATATCTGAATAGATAAAGTTATTTTTTTTAGAAATAATTAATTAATTAAGTAATAATTATAAAATTAATAATAATAATAAAAAAACAAATTAAAAATTAAATAAATCATTAAATAAATCATTTAAATAGAAATTAATTACTAAAAAAGTTTTCATATTAAATAAAAACAAAACAAAAAAGTTTTGTATTTAAATATTAGATTTAAAAAAATAAATAAAAAAAACACACAACTAATACAACTAATACAATATAAATAATAATAATAATAATAATACTTTTATTTAAAATTATTAATTAAAAATACAAATTACCTGCCGATACAATCACCTCCCGGTTAGCCCTAACCGTATGTTTGCGATTGTTTTTAATAAACTCGACTCCCTGTGCCCGAGGAGTACCTGTGCCCTGTCCATCGTTTGTACGTTCAATTAGTATTTTTGTGACCATTGCTTCGGTAACTATAGTCAACTGGGGACACAAACCACTGCCCAGATAAGCATTATTAGTCGATGATCGCAAACCCTCGGCGGTAATTGTCTGTAAAAATGTAAACCCAGTTTGATTTGCGCCATTAATATCCGTTAAGTGGAGACCCCATTCCCGAGCAGCCTCGGCTTGTTTCAAGTGTATTGGATAGGGTTTACCCGCAGCCGATACACCTACCGGTCCCTCGCGGCCATGATACTGATCGCTAACCTGGGGGTCGGTATTATTTTCCATTAGTTTAAATACTGGCAAAACACTTGCATAATCCCAACCAATGGCACCGTATTTTGAGGCTATTGTGTCGAAAAATTTGCGATTACCTCTATATATATAGTGAAATAATTAATAAAAATTAAATTTTTCTATAAAAAAACAATTAATATATTCTCCAATATTTTTTTTTAAATAAATTAAGCAATAAACAACATAAATCTTTTTTAATAAAAAATATTAACTTTAGTTTTATAACAATATAGTGTATATGAAATAAATTGCAAATTGTTTTATTTTTAATTAGGTTTAAAGTGTTTAATTATGTTCACACACACATATACATACACACACATACACACACATACACACACATACACACACATACACACACATACACACACATACACACACATACACACACATACATACATACACACACACACACACACACACACACACACATACACACATAATACACACACACATACACACACATACACACACATACACACACATACATACACACACACATATACATACACACACATACATACACACACATACATACATACACACACATACATACACACACATACATACACACACATACATACACACACACATATACATACACACACATACATACACACACATACACACACACATACACATTTTTTATTAGTCTTAAATTATATAACTTTTTAAAATTATATATTAAATATTTATAATATATATATATATTGTTAATACCTATTATATAATATGGCTTTAGTTGAGGTACCACCTAATACACGGCCGCTTATCTCAGTTTCGTGGCCATTGCCAGAAAACGAGTGTCCAGTATATTTTTGTTGTTCAAGCTGGTAGTACCAAAATTTATTATCATCAACATAGGTACGGGCACCGAGGCCGGGTAGATCATCGATTAGGGCATCGGCCGGACCGCCAGCTTCCAATAGTAGTACATCGGAACCCCATTCGGATAGACGACAGGCGACAATAGCACCGGCACTGCCGGCGCCGACTACTATATAATCGTATGACTGTTTCGGTGGCAATGGTGTCCGATAGGCCAGTTGGTTGTGCTTGAGCTGCCTGTCCTGGATAATTGTTGATAGCATTAATAATTTTGTTAATAAAGTTAATGTAAACATATTTTTTAGTTTTTTTTTTTATTATACACAAACACTAAGATATTTTTTTTAAATAAAAATTTTAAAAAATAATATTAATATTAATAATAATAAACTATTAATTTTTTTTGTGATTATTATTTTTATTATTATTAATAATTATAATAAGTTTTAGTAATTTATTTTTGAAAACATATTTTTTGTTTGTTTCATTCAAGTCGTCATTATTGTCATAAAATTGTTTTTTTTATATTAAAAATAAAATAAAAAGTCATTAAGAAATTTTAATAATTAATAAAAATATGTATTATTATTAATATACTGTATATATATATATATTAATATTAAACAAACAAATTTGAAAAATTATTGAATAAAAATAAATAGTAAGAAAGTTATTCAAAAAATAAAAAATTATAAATTTGTTTTAAATACTAAAAGTCATTGAATAATTTTTTTTAAAAAAATAAATTAATTATAAGACAATACTTTATTAATAATAATTATAATATTATTATTATTATTACTTTATAAGTTTGTATATCTATCAGTAGATATTTAACTACACTTATGTATAGATATTAAATTAATTAATTAATAATAATAATTTAATTAAATTTTTTTTATAAAATAATTAAAACTATAAAAAATTAGTTCAATTTAAATTCTTTTTATTAAAAAAAACTATGATTTTTATTTTAATAATTGCAATTATAACTATAATTGCTTTAATAGGTAATAGTATAATAATTTATTTATTTTTTTAAATTGACTATTAATTTAAAGTTATTTATGTATTTATATTTTCATGATTTTTTAATTTTATTTTTTTTTTGTTAAAACTATTAGTATATAAAAATCATTTAAATAATGTCAACTATTGGAATCAATTGGGTATAAATGGACCTAGACCATTGCCACTAATTGGAAATATTAGAGAAATTTTACAAATGAAATATGATATACCCTGGTCAAAACAATATGGAAAACAATCTGGTATCTATGGGTAAATAAAAATTTAAAAAAATTAATTTAATTTACAATTTATATTTATATTATCAATATATACAGTAATATCATATATATATATACTGTATAAAAGTTTAAATTTAAGTAATATAGTGTGCAGTTAACCTTACGCTAAGCAAGGTAACTTAGTTAATACAATTATCTTATATTAGTTAAATTATATAAAGTACCCTGGCTAAAGCATTAAATAATATTATTCAAATTTAAACTTGTAAGTGGCATAAACTGTATATATAAATAGTATATATATATATATATATACAGCAAGTACTGTAAACAGTATAACAAAAATAATTTAACTAAAATTTTTCATTGGTAGCTAGTAGAAATTATTAAAAAAAATATTAGTTTTAATTAGCATTAACTAAACACACAATTTAGGGGTGAACATTTTTGTTTATTGCATTTTTAAACGACAATTTTTGCATAATTCGAGTAAATTCCCACTAAATTCCCACTAAATTCCCACTCAATTCCCACTCAAATCCCACTCAAATCCCACTCAAATCCCACTCAAATCCCACTCAAATCCCACTCAAATCCCACTCAAATCCCACTCAAATCCCACTCAAATCCAACTCAAATCCAACTCAAATCCCACTCAAATCCCACTCAAATCCCACTCAAATCCCACTCAAATCCCACTCAAATCCCACTCAAATCCCACTCAAATCCCACTCAAATCCCACTCAAATCCCACTCAAATCCCACTCAAATCCCACTCAAATCCCACTCAAATCCCACTCAAATCCCACTCAAATCCCACTCAAATCCCACTCAAATCCCACTCAAATCCCACTCAAATCCCAAATAAATTCTTTATACTATATATATATAAAAATATATATATAATTTTTTTTGTGTGGACAGCCTATTTGAATTTGACACACCCGTCCTAACCGTATGCGACTTTCAATTGGCCCACAAAATACTGGTCAAACATTACGACCAATTTGATCGATTGGATTTCAATTGGCCGTCGGAAATGTCCAAATGTATATGTTTTCTCAATCGTGATATTCAACGTTGGAAACAAGTTCGGTCAAAGACAACCATACTGTTCAATACGGCCCGTATGCGCATAATGTACGACCAGGTCATAGACCAGTGTTCGGCAAATTTTTGCCGACATTTATCGGAAAACATTGGACCGGATAAACAATTTTCAATTAAATCGGAAATATCTCGACTATGTTTGGATATATTTCTGGCCAATGCATTCAGTTTGGACAGTCGTATGGGTAACTATGGCGACGACAACGAGTCGGACGAGCGGCAAAAATATTGGTCAATGATGTCCGTCGGTCTCCAACTGGAAGGTGAAGTATTGTGGCGTGAATTGAATGTCCGTATGCCTGGATATGTCCAACGGTTGGCCAATTGGTGGACGGGTAGTAATTTAGATAAATCGTTTGATAAATTAGAAAAATTGATTAGCAGTTATGTTGTCCAGCGATTAGTGGACAATGAAAATAATCGGCAAATAAATGTCGGCAATGATGATGATGATGATGATGATAATGACCACAACAACGATAATAATAATAAAAATTTAGATACTGTCGGCTTGTATTTAAAATTGGTCGATAAAAATGGTGATTAAATTATTTTTATTTTTTTTTGTTAAAAATATTTATTAGATATAAATAAATAATTTAATTTATTATTTATTTAATATTAATTAATATATTAATTAATATACTATTTAATATATTACTTATTATATTTAATATATTAGATAATATATTATTTAATATATTTTATTTATTATATTTTATTTAATATATTATTTAATATATTATTTAATATATTATTTAATATATTATTTAATATATTATTTAATATATTATTTAATATATTATTTAATATATTATTTAATATATTATTTAATATATTATTTAATATATTATTTAATATATTATTTAATATATTATTTAATATATTATTTAATATATTATTTAATATATTATTTAATATATTATTTAATATATTATTTAATATATTATTTAATATATTATTTAATATATTATTTAATATATTATTTAATATATTATTTAATATATTATTTAATATATTATATTTAATATATTAAAACTAAAATAATTTTTTTATATATCTGTTAACAGTTAGCGTATCGGATCCGATAAGTGTCCGATTTTTATCCTACTATCTGATACTACTATTTCAGGGACTACTAAGCGGTATAACCGAAATACTAAGCGATATGATTATACATTTGGCCCGTTATCCTAGTGTACAGTCAAAACTATTTGACGAATTGGTGGACGCATTAGAAACTAGTGGTGAACAACTAGTGGACGACATAACCACAACAACAACTACGGGATCATTGAATAGTCGCCGTAAGCTATCCTATGATGTATTAATACACTTGCCATACATGGATGCCGTCATCAAAGAACTGTTGCGATTGAATCCGCATGTCCTGCGACTGAGTCGGCTGTTCAGCGGTAGCCCAGCAGATAGTGTGGCATCAAATCTGATACCGGGTCTGAAACTGAAACCCGGCGACCGATTGGATATCCAACTATCGGCCGTACATATGTCTGATGAACTGTTTCCCGATCCCTATCAGTTCAATCCCGATCGGTTCCTGGACCCGGTTAGCTTGCGGCGGCTAAACAAACTGGATCCCGCTGGGCTGATGTTTTTCGGTTTGGGTCCCCAGATGTGTGTCGGTACCCGTTTGGCTATGCTTGTTATTAAGTCATCGTTGGCCCATATGCTCTACAATTTTCAACTATATATACCGCATATCGATGACCGATCCCGACCCGAATGGTGCGACCAATTTGATAATATACCCGAATATTTTTATGAAAAAAAATGCTGTATTAAAATCAATAAATAAATAAACTAAGTAATTTGGTTTTGTTAAAAAATAATAAAAATAAAAATTAGGAATGTGTGGAGTAGAGGGGTAGGGGGTGTGAAATATTGGTGTATGTGTGTGTGTGTGTGTGTGTGTGTGTGTGTGTGTGTGTGTAGTAGTAGTAGTAGTAGTAGTAGTAGTAGTAGTAGTAGTAGTAGTAGTAGTAGTAGTAGTAGTGGTAATAGTAGTAGTAGTAGTAGTAGTAGTTGTTGTTGTAGTAGTAGTAGTAGTAGTTGTTGTTGTTGTTGTTGTTGTTGTTGTTGTTGTAGTAGTAGTAGTAGTTGTTGTTGTAGTAGTAGTAGTAGTAGTTGTTGTTGTTGTTGTTGTTGTTGTAGTAGTAGTAGTAGTAGTAGTAGTAGTAGTAATAGTAGTAGTAGTAGTAGTTGTTGTTATAGTAGTAGTAGTAGTAGTTGTTGTTGTTGTTGTTGTTGTTGTAGTAGTAGTAGTAGTAGTAGTAGTAGTAGTAGTAGTAATAACATAGAAAATCTTTAATTGAATTATTATTATATGAGTTTTTATTTTTTTATTTATTTAATTAGAATTTTATTAATTAAACTAAATAAAAATTACATTTGATAAAATATTAGATTTAAAAATTACAAATATTTATTTATTTATTTATTTTTTAATAATATAGTTGTTTAATACACTTTTTTCTTTTTAAAAATTAAAATAATATTAAACGTAATAAAATAATATTTTTTTAAAAAACAAAGTTTTATGTATGATTTTTTTGAATAAAATTAAATTAATGTAAACTTATTATTAGTCAAGTAATTATAGATTTACAATTTTATTATTTTTTTATTATTATTATTTATAAATATTTAATTGAATAATCCTACAATTAATATAACTATAAATATTTTACTAATTTAAAAACAAAAAAAAAATAATAAATTGAATGTAAAATCAAAATTATAACTAATTATATAACTAACATATAAAAAATAAAATTTTATATTTATACTTTATTTTATTAATTTCAATTAGAAAATTAGATTAGTAATTATTTTTTTTAGATATATATATATAATTAAAATATTTATAGTTTTTTATTAACTTAAAATTTAATTTTAATGTATAATTTTGTTAATCTAGTATTATTATTATTGTTATATGTTAGTATCTATGTTTATTTTTAATTTGAACAAATATATATATATTTAATTTTTATATTTTAAAAGTTTTACATATTTCTACATATTTTAACTCTTAAGTTTTATTGAAATTTATTTTACTGTTTTTTTAAATAAGATAATTTTATTTGCCATATATAAGATAGTAGTCATATAAAAAATAGTCTATACATTATCTAATATTAATTACTAACTAAAAAATTTTAAAAATTTTCTATATTTAATATATACAGCTATTTTTGATGACTCGAAAAAAAAATTTATCGACACGTTTTAGTAATTTTTATTTTCAGTAAAATTTTATCAAAGATATTAAAATAAATAAATATAATTATTTTTAAAAATTATTTATAAATTTATATATTATTCAAGTCATTAAAAAATAAATTCCTGTATAAATTTTATTATAGACATTTTTTGATGACTTGAATAAAAATATTTCGACACATTTATAAAAAAATTTTATTTTACTATAATTAATTATGTATATAAAATCTAAATATTAAAAAGTCATCAAAAAAATTTCTAAAATTAATTATTATACAGGAATTGTTTTTTTAAATATCTTGAAAATATATATTTAATTATTAATACAGTTATTATATATCTTGTATTAAAAAAAAAATATGATTAATAAAATTAATTTTTTACAACACTAACAAACATTGAATATAATTTACATTTAAAATAAAAAAATATATAATGAGCTGTTTTCTATATTTTTTTAAAATATTTAAAGTTGTTTTAATAAAAAAATTAATTAAAATCAATCATGACCAAGGTTTTAAAATTCAATTGAAATAAAATAATTAATCATAATATTTAAATAGTAATATATAAATAAAATTATTATTATTATTATTAATGACATATATTATATAAAATTTAAAAAACTTTACTATAACTTTTAATTGATGTTTTTACTAAAAAAGTTATCTTGTACATTATTATACTAAATTAAGACATTAAATATTAATATCAATAGCATTTACATTGAAATTTTTATAATTAAGTAATAATTAATTAATTATTTGTAGTTTAAAATTTTTTTTTTACTAAAAATTTCATGTTTTTAGCTTACTAATAATATAATGTTTACTATGACATCTAGTAAATAAAATTATTTAAAAAAAAAATTATTAAAACTTTAATTAATATTTTTATTATTGAATAAGTTAATCAATTAAGATAATCTTGTACATTAATATATTAAAACTAATTAATAAATACCACTAATTGAAAAAATTTTCATTAAAAAAATTGTAAATTTAATTTTATATAAACTAATTATTTACATTTATATTTAGTATATAACTTAAAATACAGTACATTATGACATATAGTATATACATAATTTAAAAAGTCTATTATAATCAATAAAATATTTTAATTTAAATAATTATTAATTTAAATAATTAATAATTAATTTTTAAAAATGTTTTTATTAAATCAATTAAGTAAAACTTGTACATTATTACTCTGAAAACAATTAGTTAATACTAATATTTATTAAATTTTAAACATAATTTTAGTTTATAATTTTAAATAAACAGATTATCGATAGTTTTTTAATAAATTAACTTTAAAATGTAATATACAGTACATTATGACATCTAGTATATAGAATTTAAAAAGTTTATTATAATCAATAAAAATAATTTAATTAAAATAATTATTATATTTTAATATTTTTATTAAATCAATCAAATTAAACTCGTACATTATTATAGTGAAAACAATTAGTTAATACTAATATTTATTTAATTATTGTCAAAATTTAAAAACTTATTTTTAAAATAACAAATAATTCATAATTTTGTTTATTAAATAAATGTGATGTACATCTATTATATAAAATTAAAAAAAAGATAAAATTATAAAATTATTTTTTATTAAATAATTAAATAATTAAATCAGTTAATCAGTAATCTTGTACATTATTATATTGAAAACATATTGTTAATAAAAATATTAATCAAATTTTTAAAAAAAATTTAATTTATAATATTAAATAACCAAATTATTCGCAAAATTTTAAGTAAATGAATTAAAATCTAATATATATTTTGACATCAATTATGTAAAATTAAATAATTGTTTTTATTAAATAATTGAATCAATTAAGTTAATCTTGTAAATTATTATATTCATAAAACAGTTAGTTAATACTAATATTTATTAAATTTTTATCAATATCTTAAAATATATAATTTTAAATTAATTAATTATTAATAATTTTGTTTTTAATTATGATAACTTTAAATGTTATATTATGGTTTATTGTGACATATATCATACAGTTAGATATAATTATAAAAGTTATTATATTTAAAAAAAATATATATATATATAATGTTTTGGATATTTTGGATGCGACCGAAATTTTTTTTATCTATACTTAGTTTATTTTTTTTTGAAAATATTATTTATAGTTTATATATATATAAACTATAAATTATATTTTCAAAAAAAAAATAAATTTATTTAGTATTTTTTAAAAAGATAAATCCACAATAATTATCTCAATTTATTTTATTATTATTTTTTTTAACAAATAGGAAAGTAATTTAATTCCTCTAATATCCTTTAATAATAATTTAATTTAATTTAATTAATTTAATTTAATACATTCGGTATATAATGGATAACAACAACAAAAAAAATATAATAAAATATTTTTTTTTAAATTTTAGTTTTTAGTTTTTTTTGTTAAAAATAATACAATTCTATTTAGAATTTTTTAAATATCTTTGTTGTAAATCGTTATATTGAATTAGGACTAATTGGGCGACAATTTTCCTATCATTAGTAGACGTTTGCAATTGTTTTCGACAAATATCTTCAATACTTGTAAATAGTTTATCGATATAATCGCAAAACTCTTGTTTCATATTCAACTCGTTGTAAACCATTTCAATCCTATCGACGGCTAACTGATTGTCTGAACCTAAACCATAATTGTCTAATAGTATCGATCGTTGTTCACTAGTAGCCAATTGAAGGGCCCGTACGTAAAGCCAACTGCATTTGCCTTCGGCTATATCGGTGCCATTGGTTTCGATATAGATATCCGAATAATCGTTGAACGAACCGATAAATCGGGAAAATTTTTGTATGATTTCCTCCAATACTTGTCTGTTTTGGCGATCAGTTTCACCAATGGCTGCCAATACTGTATCGATAGAAATAATAATTAAATAAATAAATAAATAATAATTAAATAAATAAATAATAATAATTAAATAAATAAATAATAATAATTAAATAAATAAATAAATAATAATAATTAAATAAATAAATAAATAATAATAATTAAATAAATAAATAATAATAATTTAAATAAATAAATAATAATAATTAAATAAATAATAATAATTAAATAAATAATAATAATTAAATAAATAATAATAATTAAATAAATAATAATAATTAAATAAATAATAATAATTAAATAAATAATAATAATTAAATAAATAATAATAATTAAATAAATAATAATAATTAAATAAATAATAATAATTAAATAAATAATAATAATTAAATAAATAATAATAATTAAATAAATAATAATAATTAAATAAATAAATAATAATAATTAAAAATTAAATTATAAGCTATATAATTATTATTATTAGCATTTAACAAAATGGACCTAGTCTAAACGATGCTAATACTGAAAACCAGGCTATCTTGTAATAGTTAATAGTTGACCAACAATTATAAGTAAATTGATCTAATTGAGCATGCTTGTTTGTCGCTTTTGTATTCATCAAGTCCATTGACTGACCAATTGCTACTTTTTCGATAATCTATGATTTTTTTTTAAAATTAAAAATTTAGTAAGTAAAAATATAATTGAACATTTTTTAATTAATTAAAATTTTATCTTAATATATAAAGGCAATATATTCGTATTAATATATTTGAATATATATGTGTGAAAACTTGAATTACTATTACTATAAATAAAATCTATAAATTTTTTAATGTTATATATAATACATATATATATATATTTATTTATATACTGTATTATACCTCATGAAGACATTCAACAATATCCATATAATTTTGGTGTCCCTTAAAGTAATGTTTAGCCATTTTAAACATTAGTGATAATATCAGTGTAGAATCGTTTAGGGCTATCATTCCTACATCAGGCTATAATTTTGTACAAAAAAGATTAATTAATTAATTAATTAATTAATTATTACTTAATAAATATAATAATTATTATTATATATTAACAATTAACAAATTTGATTATATAAAAAAAAAATTTATATCATATTTGAAAAAAATATTGAATAAAAATAATAATAATTTTTTTTATAAAAAAAAATTAATTACCAATAAATGCCAACAAGTTTTGCCAAATCTTTTAGTTGATTGATCGACAATATCGTCGATTAATAGAAAATAAATTATCATCAACTGGTTTATCCAACCCAATGCTATATGTTGATCATCGGACAGTTGGTTTTGTAGTAGTGGTGGTCGTCCACCACAATCACCCGGTGCTTGTTGTCCACCACCACAACCATCATCATTGGCCAGCAAATTGTAAAATATATAGATATAGCCGCCGCCGATATCTATTTTCCGATGATAATTATAATCAATTAGTCTACTAATCCATTGGCCGACATCCCTGAGCTGATTGTTGGGTTCGTTGTCAGTATTGATCAATTGATTATCAATGAATTCAGTCATCAGTTTATTAAATTTTTTTAGAAATTTCTGGCGATTTTCATAATCAAATGTTTTGTTAAATGTTTCGCTATTGAAAAATATAAATAATAGTAATAATAATTATTATTATTTTAATGTTATATTAGTTATTAATAATTATCTATACATCAAATAGTTATGAAAATGCTTAAATAAAATTTTAATATTATGTGATTTTTTTTTGTTTTTATAAAAAAATAAAATTATTAATAATTATTAAAAACTAAAAATAGTTTAATTAAAATTAATTATAAATATTTATTTACCCGCAAAATGATTCAATTTGATTTGACAAATTATAAGCCATTATTTTTAGTTATAATAGTTAAATAATAAAAATTATTTTTTTTAAAACAAATTTTTTTTAATTATAAAATTCTATAATAATTTTTATATAAATATAAATTGATGTTTTAGATACCAGAAAAAATTATTAGATTTTTTTTTATTTAGTAATACATAGAATTTATATACTTTGATAATAATAAAAAATATTTGAAGTTATTTCAAAAATGTGTTATATGATTGAGCATTTTTATTTAAAAAATAAAAAAAAAACAATTTATTTAAGGCATTAATTTATTTTTAATAACGATGATTTGAAAATTTTGAACAAATAAAATATATACACAAACACACACACATATACAGGTTAACATACACATACATACCCACACACACACACATTTTAACATACACATACATACCCACATACAAACATACATACATACAAACATACAGACACATATTAACATACATACAGACAAACACACACACATACATATTAACATACATACAGACAAACACACCCACCCACCCACACACCTACATACATACATACAAACACACACACTAACAGATTAAAATAGATATACAGTATATACCCACCCACCCACACACATACACACACACCCAGACACATACTAAAGTATTTCATATAACTATTAAATTTAATGCTTTTACTAAATAATGCTTCAAGATTCACTAAAAAAATATAAAATATTAATAATTGAATAATTAAATATTTTTATTTTTTTTTTTTTTTAAATATAATAATAAACAGTATAACTAATTGATAATTTAGTAAATTTTAATAATAATAATACAAAAACAAATTATATTTCATACATAAATCATAATAATTTTTAATAATTAATAATAATATTTTTGATATTTAACTAACTTATAGATAATTTAATTTATTATTTTTAGTTTTATAGTTTTAATTTCTCAATTCAATGCCAATATTAAGCGGTTTTAAATTAAGCAAAAATTGCATAATCTGTGGTTTCGGTTGCAAATTGGTTTCGGGTGTCCGATAAAAATGATATTTATTAACCAAATAGACAACCGCTGTCTTAGTTTCCATCAGTGCAAACCTCATGGCCACACAATTTCTCGGTCCCAAACCAAACGGCATATACGTATAGGGAACCAATCGATCACGATTTTCGGGCATAAACCGGTCGGGTTTCCAACAGTCGGGTTCGGGATAATAGTCGGGATTGTGATGCAATGTTTCGATATCGAAGCTAACATTCATGCCTTTCGGTATTTTTAAGCCAATACTCTCTATTTTTATTTAATTTTTTTTTTAAAAAAAATAATGTTTTTAAAACAACAACAAAATTAAATAATAATCATTTTTAGTTTAATAAAGTTAAAAAAAGCAACCACACCACCCTAACAACCCTAACACACAACTATCCCACCATTTCCTAAACTCCCATACCTCTAAGCACTCTAAGGTAAGTAATGCCAAAAACAACAACAACAAAAAAAACTATATAAAACATAATATGACTCCACACCATCCCAACACCTAACTTAACACACTACTATCTAACCCTAAACACCCCACCCCACCACCAATTCCTAACCTCCCACACCCTACCCCAACCCACCAACGCTCACTGCAACACACAATTATAAAAATATAAATTTTACTGTTTTTCACGAATTCCTGAAAGGAATACGTATATGCATTCTAAAAGTCTGTCCGTCTGTCCGTCTGTCTGTCTGTCCCACGAGGACATAGGTTCGAATCCAGGCTCCGCTACAAAAATCTTTTTTGATTTTTTTTGATTTTTTTTTGTTTTTTTTTCTTTTTTAGGTTAAGGAGATCGTATGGGAATGCTTTTGAAGCATTTTCAACTGTTTTTTTTATTTTTATTTTAAATTTTTCCTTTTTAAGTTAAGGAATTCGTGTGGAAATGCTTTTAAAGCATTCTCAACTGGTTTTAATAATACATTTTAAAAACAATTTAAAAAACTAAGTTAAGTAATGCTAACAATTAAAAAAAATATATAAATCATAATATAATACCATATCATACCTTACCTAAAACACTAATATCTAACCCCAGTCACCCCACCCTACCCCACCACCACCAATTCCTAACTTTCCACACCCACCCAACTCCTCCCCCCCCCAAAAAAAACAAAGCCCAGGTAGGTAATAAATAAAAATTTGTTATACCAATAGTATAATCTTGATTAGCTATACGTGTGAAATAAGCGGCCGGATTGTATAGCCGTAGTGTTTCGGCAATACAGGCCTCCAGATATGACATTTTACCAATGGTTTCGTAATCGTATCGGCCGTTTAGCCGACGAATTTCGTCAAACAATTTTTGCTGACAATCCTCGTCCAGTGCCAGCCTATAGAACAGTAGCGATAGTAGAGAACCGGTAGTTTCGTAGCCGGCAACAAAAAATACATAACTCGACGCCAATACGTCCGTATCGGTAATGTCTATCAACTTGTTGTTGTTGTTGGTATTACTAGTTTTGTCATTAGTGTCGTCCGATTGGCCGTAAATTTCTTTACTACTGTCGTCGACACCATTACTACTACTACTACTACTACGTGTACTACTACTACCATTGACATCCAGTTCCTCATCATTAGTATCCATGCATTTGTCTTTAGCGTCCAAAATCAGTTGCAAATAATCAACAGGTTTTTGTTGTTGTTGTTGTTGTTGCTTAACATCACTAGACTTTCGTTTAGCTATAATTGATTGGATCTGAAAATAAAGTAAAACACCAAAAAAAAAATAATTAAACAAATATGAAAATTAGGAATAATAGGAATAATAGGAATAATAGAAATAATAGGAATAATAGGAATAATAGGAATAATAGGAATAATAGGAATAATAGGAATAATAGGAATAATAGGAATAATAGGAATAATAGGAATAATAGGAAAAAATATTTAAAAAAAGTTTTTATTTTTTAATTTATCAGATAATAACCGACTGACTGACAGATAACTGACCGCTTGTGTGAAAAATTTTTCAACCGTCGGATCCGTAAACTTATAGCCGGTTAGCTTCAAAAATCTTTTACCCATCGATAGGATGGCCAGAAACAAAAGCGGTCGCAAACCTACGGCAAACACTTTCTGTGCATTCAATACAAATTCACTGGGTTTCTGGTCATCGTAGGTATCGATTTGTGTACCGAAAGCACAGGCAGCTATTACATCCATTGTCAGACAGCCCATTGTTTTTTTCGTTTCAATAGTCTCCCGGTTCCGGGCTTTTGGTTCCATATATCTATCCAATCGTTGAACACAATCGACAACAATCGGATGCATTGAACGCATTTTACTTGAAGAAAATGTTGGCGATATCTATATAGTATTATTAATTATAATTTTTTTTGTCTTAAAAAATTTTTAATAAAATTTTTGTGTTTTTTTTTTGTGAAAGTGTCTTAAACACCGACGACAATAGCGGCGATGCTTTTTTTAATTCATCAATTTAAATGGTCAACAATAAAATTTAAGTGACCAAGGACAATTTTGTAGATAATTTTATTTAATAACTAAATAAGATTGTAATTGATCATTTATTTTTTAAATTAATTAATTAATTAATTACATGATTAGGCAGATAATTGCAGTCGACTATTATTTTTTTTTAAAAAAATTTAACAGTTAACTATATTTTAAATTTTATAATTTATGCAATTAATTAATTAAAAAAATGTTGCTAATTACAATCTTATTTAATTGTAAAAAAAATAAATAAACATTGTCCTTGGTTACTTTTTTCTATTAAATCCATTGTATTGATGATCAGATAATTGATGAATTAAAAGCATCGCCGCTATCTGTGTCGCTGTTTCAGACTCTCTCTCTCTCTGTTTTTTTTTAATTTTTTTTAATTTTAAAAATTATAATACAATTGATCGCATATTTTTCCATTCATTGGCTTTCATATTAAATAAAGATCTTTCTTGTAATGGATCGACAAAATCAATATCGTTTCGGTCGATAAATACATTAAAGTCTCTGATATTCATTTGTTTGACTAATTGTGGATCAGATATGTTAAGTATGGGTAGACTACCCATATATGTACTGAAAAAATAGTTAAAAATTAAATTTTTTTAGGTGAAAATAATTAATTTTTTTTTAATTAATAGTAAATACCCGTAAACTTTGCCATAAAGTTTATGATTATCCAATAATACTTTGGGTATTGGTTTCAGTAAATTAGTAAATAAATTGCCTAATAATGGTAACGGTTTGGGTCCGGGTATACCACGCGATGACCAATAGTTAAAGTTACGGGTAGTGTAACTGTTTTTTTTATGTATAAATAATTTATTTATATATATATATATTTTTTGGGTAATAAAATTAGTTATCAAACAACAAAAAAAACAATATAAAAAATTTTATTAAATTTGATTACTTACTAATATAAAAATACCAAAATGATAATAATTATTAAGTAAATCATTTTTGTTTGTTTATTATTTTTTATTTGATTAACAACTACTGTATTGATAAACTAAAATCAAAAAAAAATTATTTAAAAAAATATTATTATTATTACTTAAGTTTATTTAGTATATTATAGTAATACTGCTGTTTAATTATTTTTTATTTTTACAAAATAATTAATATTTACATTAATATATATATATATATATATATATATATATATATATATATATATTATAAAGATTTTAATTTTAAAAAAATATAAATTTTATATTAACTTATTATTATTATTATTATAAAAATAATAATTATTATTTAAGTTGTATTTAGTTGATGTATGAGTAATAATAGTGTTAATAATTTTTTTTATTTAATTATTTTTTACTAAACAATTGACATTTTTCAAAATAAAATGTATTTAATAAGATATTTATTTTAATAATAATAATAATAACAATTTGAAGGGCAATAAGTTTAGTTATTTTCCATCACATTATTAATTAAATATTCAAAAATATTTTATCAAAAATTATTTTTTTTAAATCAAAAAAGTAATCATTATAATGCAGAAAATATTTTTTTTATAAATTTTTTTATTATACTAAAAATTCCTTAAAAAATCAATAACTTTTAAGTAAAAAAATATTTGCCTATTTTTTGCTAATTTTTATAATGACTTGAAGCTATATTTTTAGCATTTTTAAAATAAACTAATAATTGATATTTTAATGTTATTGTATATTATGACATCTATTATATAAAATTTTTTTAAAAAACCTAAATACAATTAATTAAATATTTTTTAATTAAATAATTTAATCAATTAAATTAAACTCGTACATTATTATACTGAAAACAATTAGTTAATACTTATATTTAGTTAATAATTATGAAAATTTAAAAACTTATTTTTAAATTAACCAATTATTTGATAATTTTTGTTTATTAACTAAATTTAAATGTGATGTCTATTGTGACATCTATTGATATATAAAATTTTTAAAAAATAAAATTATAAATTAAAAATTGTTTTTATTAAATAATTAAATCAATTAAGTAAAACTCGTACTTTATTATATTAAAAATAAATTTTTAATACAAATATTAATCAAATTTTAAAGAAAATTTTAGATTATAATTTTAAATAAACAAATTATTGTTAAAATTTTTTAATTAAATGACTTAAAATCTAATGTCTATTATGACATCTATTATATAAAATTGAAAAAGTTATTATAATTTAAAAGTTTTTTGGATTAAATAATTGAATCAATTAAATTTATCTTGTACATTATTATATTGAAAAACAATTTGTAATACTAATATTTATTAAATTTTTATCAAAATTTTAAAATATAATTATAAATAAACAAATTATTGATAGTTTTTTAATTAATTAACTTAAATATGTAATATACAGTACATTATGACATCTAGTATTTAAAAATTAAAAAAATTATTATAATTAATAAAATATTTTAATTAAAATAATTATTATATTAAAAAATGTTTTTATTAAATCAATTAATTTAAACTTGTACATTATTATAGTGAAAACAATTAGTTAATACTAATATTTATTTAATTATTATCAAAATTTTAAAAACTTATTATTAAATTAACCAATTATTTGATAATTTTTGTTTATTAAATAAATTGAAATGTGATGTCTATTGTGACATCTATTGTATTATATAAAATTTAAAAATAATTATTAATTAAAAATTGTTTTTATTAAATAATTAAATAAATTAATTTAATCTTGTACATTATTATATTGAAAAACTATTAGTTATTACTAATAGTTATTAAATTTTTATCAATATTTTAAAATATAATTTTAAATAAACTAATTATTCATAATTTTTTTTAATTAGCTAGCTTAAAATATTATATAATGGTTTATTGTGACATCATTATCATACAGTATATAAAATTATAAAAGTTATTATAATTTTTCTTTTAAAAAAATGTTTTTATTAATTAATTAAATCAATTAAGTTAATCTTGTACATTATTATAGTGAAAAACAAATTTTTAATACAAATATTAATCAAATATTAAACAAAATTTTAATTTATGATTTTAAATAAACAAATTATTGACAAATTAAAAAAATATATATAACTATAAATTAAAAATTGTTTTTATTAAATAATTGAATCAATTAAGTTAATCTTGTACATTATTATATTGAAAATCAATTAGTTATTACTAATATTTATTTAATTATTATCAAAATTTTAAAACTTATTTTTAATAAAGCAATAATTCATTTTTTTAATAATTTAATATATATTGTATATTATAATATCAATTATATAAATATTAATAAATTAATTTAAGTATACTTGTTTTATTAAAAAAAATAAATCAATTAAGTTAATCTTGTACATTATTATATTGAAAAACAATTAGTTAATACAAATATTAATTTAATTTTAAACACAATTTTAGATTATAATTTTAAATAAACAAATTATAGACAAATTTTTTTAATTAAATGACTTTAAATCTAATGTATATTATGCCATCTATTATATAAAATTTAAAAAAATAAAAAATTGATTTTATTAAACAATTGAATCAATTAAGTTAATCTTGTACATTATTAATTGAAAACAATTAGTAAATATTAATATTAAACAAAATTTTTATCAATAATTTTAAAATATAATTATAAATAAACTAATTATTGATAATTTATTTTTAAATTAGATATCTTAAAATATTATATAATGGTTTATTGTGACATCTCAGTATATAAAATTATAAAAGTGTAAAATTTTATATTATAAAATATTTTTTTTTAATTTAAATAATTGAATCAATTAGTTAATACTAATATTTAGCAAAAAATTTTTTTTTGCAAAAATCTTAGTTTTAAGTGAACCTCTAATTGATTTTTAAGAAATTTCTTTTATTAAATAACTTAAAATCTAAATTAAAATCTTTAAAAAAAACTTATTAAACTTATTAAATATATTATATAATTTGCATAAATGTAAATTTGCATTAATTAAACAACTAGTTTCATTTATTTATACTAAAATAATAATTGTTTTACAACAACAACAATAACAACATAATTATAAAATATTACAAATATTTTTATAATAAATCAACAACAAAAATAATCATTTAATTAATTAATATAATATCTTAACAATTTAATTGCGATTATATATATATATATATAATTATAACAATTAATATATATAATTAAATAATAATTATATAAAAACATCAATTATTATTATTATAATTATTCGGCCACAATATTAGCGGCAATGTGTCCGCCGTCGACCACCAATAACGTACCGGTTATAAACCCGGCCGTATCATTGCTGGCCAAATAGGCAACACTGTTGGCAATGTCCTCGGGCTGGCCGGGCCTACCGACTGGATATTTTTCGCAAATTTTTTCAATTATTTTGTCCGCTTCCGCCCGAGTTGTGTCCATTGAATGTATGGTTATGTCAGTCAATATGATACCAGTTCTACAATAATAATAATAATAATAATAATAAATAATTGTTAGAAAATCATATATAGAGATATATATATATAAGTCATATATCTATGTCCTATATGTATACATTTTTCTAGCATTTATTATACTGTATATATATATGTCATATATCTATGTCTATATTTATACATTTTGCTAGAAAAATGTATATATATATATATATATATATATATATATATATTAATAATAACTAATTTTTTTAAAAATTAATTACTATATATATTTTTAAAATTTAGTTATTAATACAGTATGGATATTATATATATATATATAATAATTAATTTTAATAATTTAGTTATTATTATTAATAATACTGTATATATATATTCATAGTTAAATAAAAATAATTTTTATTTATAAAAATAAGTCAATACATTATAGCATTAACTCTAATACGTTTCGGTCCCAACTCTGCGGCCATACATTTGGTAAACATATTGACCGATGCTTTAGACATATTATATTGTGAACGACTTGATTGCTAAATCAATAAATAATAAATAATAATAATAATAATAATTAATTAAATATTTATTTATTTAAAAAAAAATTATTTATTACCAATCGTTTTGAATCGACTGACGATATATTGATAATATTACCGCCAGTTTTAGCCAAATATGGGACCGATTTATGTGTCATACAAACAGTTGAATACAAATTGGTTTGCATAATAAAATCAAATGTTTTCATATAATCAGGTTCATCGATAGTCGAAAACCTAACGGTGCCGGCATTGTTGACCAGTATATCCAATTGGCCAAACTTGCGGACAGTTAGCTCAACCAAACGTTGACAATCGTTTTCATTAGTAATATCGCCGACAACTTCCAGAGGTTGTAACTGTTTAGGCGATACATGTATACAATCGTTGGCCACTTTGTGTACACGATCGGCATCACGACCGGTGATGACAACATTGGCACCCGATTTGCTAAACAATAGGGCAATGCCGGCACCGATACCCGAACTCGAACCGGTTATCAGAGCTACCTTTCCAGTGAAATCGTAGTTAAGCGACATTTTTTTGAATGATAATAATTAGTATTATTTTATTTTTATCTTTTTTTAAAAATATATTTTATAAAATCAAATATAATACTAAATTATGATTTTTTTTTAATTTTATTTTTTTTAACTAATAGTTATCTTAAGTAAATATGATAATATATATAAGTATATACTGTATATATAATTAATTTTTTTTAATAAACTTGAAAAAATATTTTATTTTAATTTTCTAGATATATATATATATATATATATATCTGTTTAATGATTAGACACATTTTTTATTGTAGTCAAATATTTTATATATAATTTATTTATAATTTAAAATAAAATTAATATCCTAAATAAATACTTAAATTATAATATATTTTAGAATATATTAATAAATGATTTTTTTTAAATAAAATTAATATAAGTGTTTAGTATTTGTTGTTTTTTAAAATATAATATTGTATGAGATTAATTAAATTTTTAAAATTGTAATTGCTAATATTGATGAATTTTTTAAAAAAAAATAATTATACATATAATTATAAATAATTTTTACATTATATTTATTAAAATTTCAAAACCTTGATAATATAGGGAATATTATATTTATTTAATATTTTATATAATAGATGTCATAATAAAAGTTATACTGTATTATAAAACATATAATAAATATATAAATTTTTTAATAATTATTAATAATTTGTTTATTTAAAATTAATATTTTTATTTTTTTTATTAAAAGTTGATCAATAATAGTTATTACTAATTATTTTACTATAATAATGTACAAGATTAACTTAATTGATTTAATAAAAATATTTTTTTAAAAATAATTTTATATAATAGATGTCATTATAATAGTTATAGTTTGAAATCATATAATTAAAATATATATAAAAAAATTATCAATAATTGGTTTATTTAATATTAAATTTTAAACTTTTTATCAAAATTTTATTATCAATATTATTAATTACTAATTATTTATATATTTTTAAAAAAAAATGTACAAGCTTAACATAATTAATTTATAATAAAAATATTTTTAATGTTATAATCTTTATCATTGAAATTTGTATCATTTTTTTTTGAATGATAAAATATAGGTAATACTATTACAAACAATTATATATTTAAATTTTATTTTCACGAATTCCTGAAAGGAATACGTATATGCATTCTAAAAGTCTGTCAGTCTGTCTGTCCCACGAGGACATAGGTTCGAATACAGGCTCCGCTACAAAAATTTTTTTTGATTTTTTTTGATTTTTTTTGATTTTTTTTGGTTTTTTTCTTTTTTAAGTTAAGGAGATCGTATGGGAATGCTTTTGAAGCATTCTCAACTGTTTTTTTTTATTTTTTAAAAATTTTTTCCTTTTTAAGTTAAGGAATTCGTGTGGAAATGCTTTTAAAGCATTCTCAACTGGTTTTATATAAATACTAATTTTTAATTTTAATACAATTTATTTAGTATTATTGTGTATGATTTTATTTTATTTTTTTGTAAATATTAGGGATTTTTAAAATTATTAAATAAACAATTAAATGTATGTTAAAAATTGATTTTTTTTAGATAACTAAATAAAAAAAAAATTTTAGATCCCTTAACAACTAAAAAAAATATATTATTAACTTTTATTAATAACATTTCTATTACTGATTAAAAATGTATAATTAATGTCAAGCAAAAAATGTTAGTATTTTATTATATAAAAAATTATTTTATTTACCGAATCAAATGACTTAACATTTTAATTACAAAAAAAAATAGTTTAAATAATTATTAAAGTAAAAAAAAAAGTTTATTTTATTGTTAATTTTTTTGTTGTTGATAAAAGTTATATAAGTATTAATCATAGATAGAATAACTAACTAGAAATTTATATTAAAAAAAAATATTCAAACAAAAAAAATGTACACGTTAAGTTTATTAACAAAATTATTAATGCTATCAACTATTATCCAGGACAGGCACCTCAGGCACAAACAACTGGCCAATCAGACACCATTACCACCGAAATCCACATACGATTATATAGTAGTCGGCGCCGGCAGTGCCGGTGCTATTGTCGCCTGTCGTCTATCCCAATGGGGAGCGGATGTCCTACTACTGGAAGCTGGCGGCCAACCCGATGCCCTGATGGACGATATACCGGCACTGGGAGTCCTAACTGATGAATCAAACTATTGGCAGTATCAGGTGGTACGTCAAAAATTTACCGGACATTCACATCCAGCCGATGGCCAACAAACCCAACTAAGCGGCCGTATATTAGGCGGTACTTCAACTGTAAGCGGAATGATATATAATAGGTATATATATATAAATAAATCAATTTAATATAATATATAATATATAACATAATTACTATTACTATTTTAGTTAATTAATTAATTTAGTAATTATTTTATGTGTGTGTGTGTGTGTGTGTGTGTGTGTGTGTGTGTGTGTGTGTGTGTGTGTGTGTGTGTGTGTGTGTGTGTGTGTGTGTGTGTGTGTGTGTGTGTGTGGAAGTATATAAATAAATAAATAGATAAATGCATATATAATATAAAACATTATTACAATTATTTTAATAATTACTATTACTATTTTAGTTAATTAATTAATTATTTTAGTAATTATTTTATGTGTGTGTGTGTGTGTGTGTGTGTGTGTGTGTGTGGAAGTATATATAAATAAATAAATAAATGCATATATAATATATAATATAAACATATTTTACTAGTATGATACCTAATAATTGTGTGTTTTTTATATTTATTATTTATTTTTTATAATCATATAATTTTTTAATATAATCATAATTTTTTTTAGAGGTAATCGTGAATACTATGACACAATTGCCAGAAAATACGGTGCCATTGGTTGGGATTATGCGAGTGTTTTGCCAGTGTTTAAGCTAATGGAAAACAATACCGACCCCCGGGTTAGTGATGACTATCACGGAAGACAGGGACCGATAGGTGTGTCCACACCCAGTGATATCTATCCGATATACCAGAAACAAGCCCAGGCTGCCAGTGAATGGGGACTGGAGTATACGGATATTAATGGCCCAAAACAAACCGGGTTTACAATTGCCCAGTCGACCAGTGCCCAGGGTTTGCGATCGTCGACATTTAATGCCTATTTGAATAGTGGTTTGTGTCCACAGTTGACAATCATTACCGGAGCACAGGTATCCAAAATACTGATTGAACGTACAGACAGTGGTCAGGGCGGCGGCCATCATCCACGGGCACAGGGAGTCGAGTTTATTAAAGACAAACGCACACATAAAGTATTAGCAAACCTGGAGGTAATTTTATCGGCAGGTAATATATATTGTATTATATTTAATTGAATTATTAATTAATTTTATTAATAAATTTTTTTTTGTTTACTTATAATAATAATAATAATAATAATAATTTTATTTAGCTTAAATGCAATGTTATACATAACAAGTTGTATACAATATTACAAAAAGTCATTAATATATTTAATAAAATTACAGTATTTTTCTTCATTTCTTATATACAATGGTAATGAATTAAATAGGTTTATACAATAATTAATATAATTTTTATCAAATAAATCAATCCTTTTAAATGTTTTTTTAATAAATAAACCATTTCTAGATGTTTTATAAAATTCAAACAAATAAAACCAATTATTAGGTACAGTATTATTACATGTTTTTATTTTGAAAATAAGTTTCAACGCTTTTAATTTTCTTCTTTTTTCTAATGTAATTAAATTCAAATATTTTAATCTATTAATATAACTTATGTCTAATTTTCCTAAATTGTTACAAATATATTTTGTTATAACTTTTTGGATTTTTTCAATTTTATGTGATTGAGTTAAAGTAGGAGTAAAGCATGAATTTGAATAGTTTAAAATCGGTAAAACATAGGTTTTATACAATTGCAAAAATATTTTACTGTCAATATTTTTACATAAAAATTTTAAAAAATTAAATTTAGAAATAGCTTTACTATAGATTTCATTACAATGTATATTAAATGACATTTTATTATCATAAGTCAATCCTAAATGTTTATGTTGATTGACTGATTCAATAATTGTATTATTTATTTTATATTTTGATAAATCTACAGATTTTAATGTAACTCTTAAATGTTTTGTTTTATTTTCATTTAATTTTAAACCTTTAATATTACAATAATTTTGAAAATTATTTATATTTGTTTGTAAGTTAATAATATCATTGTATGATTTAACTGCCACTAACATTACTATATCATCAGCCCATTGAAAAAATTGACAATTTAAATAATTTACTAAATCTGATACATAAATATTATATAAAAGAGGGGAATAGACAGCTCCCTGAGCTACCCCGCTATAGACAGGTTCACATTTAGATGACATATTATCTAATTGTATGAATTGTTTGCGATTAATTAAACTATCTGTTATTAAGTTTATGTAATTAGTTGGAAAATTTAGCTCATATAGCATTTTAATTAGTTTACTATGAGGTACAACATCAAAACAATTACTTAAATCCATAAATATTAAATCAATACATAATATATTTTTATCGTTTAAGTGATTATATATAATATTCTGAATATCAATATGTTGGTTGTCAATACCAATATGTTTTTTATAACCGTATTGTTGTTTGGGAATAATATTATTTAATGCAATATAAGGTAAAATTTTATTTAAAATAATGGTATCAAATAGTCTTAATAAATTTGATTGTATTGAAACTCCTCTGTATGAATCAAAGTTGTGCTTATTTTTATTTTTTTTAAAATAGGGCTGACTTTTACTAATAGCATTTTATCGGGAAATTTACTAAAACTTATGATTTTATTATACAAAAAATATAACAACTGTGTTGAACCGTTTAAACAAGAATTTATAATTTTATTGCTTAGAAAAGTAATTCCCTGAGATTTATTAAATTTGAAACTCTTGTATGCATTTAATATATCATTCATAGAGACAGAAATATCAGGAAAATTGTCATTAATTTGTAATTCACTTAAACTAATGTTTTCTTTTGTTTTTCTATAATTAGATAAAAAATAATTTCTAAAATTATCTAATATTTCTTTATTTTCGGTAATAATTTTATTATTTTGTTTAAAAACTAGATTATTATCAGATTTTACTAATCTTTTAATATGTTTATAAAATTTGTATAAATTTGGAGATTTAGTTATGATTTTTGATATTTTATCACTTTCAAATTTTTCGATACTAGTTTTAATCTTATTACTTATTTCGGTATAAATATTTATAAAATTTGAATCGTTTTTAAACTTTTTTGTTAATTTTCTCTTTTTAAAAATTAGTTTAATTATATGTTTTGGATATTTTATGTTTGTTTTGAAAATTTTTGTCTTATAAGGTATAAATTTATTAAATATTTCATTATATTTGGTTTCTATTTTGTCATAAATAGCATTAATATTATTACAAAATCTACAAATGCTATCCCAATTAATATTAGATAAATTTTCATTTAATATTTTTAAAGTCTTTTCATTCAAATTGTATACATGTTTTTTAGTAACTATTGTTTTTATTTTGATTGGTATTTCAATTTCGAAATAAACCGCTTTATGATCACATTTAAGTGATATATTTTCTGTAACTTTTATAGTTTTGATTTTATGATTTACAAAAACTAAATCTAATAATGAGTTGCTTGTATTATATGTAATATTATTAGTTAATTGAATAAAACCATAATTTAAAAATAAATCTTTGAAATTATTTACAAATAAATTATTGCTATTAAAATTAATATTCATATCACCTGTTATTATAATTTTATCAAAATTTTCAGTACTTTTTGATAGTTTTTTCAACTCATTTTTAAAACTTTTAAAAATATAATCTTTTGAATATTTATTTGGTGGTAAATAAATCGTAATAAATAAATATTTCTTATTTTTTATAATAACTACTGTAGATATACTTTCAAACTCAGAAAATATTTCAAAATTAATTATTTTGTAATTATTTTTTACAGCAATAAAAACACCTCCTCCTTGACTATCCCTATCTTTTCTAATAATATTATAATTACTTGTAATTTGCTTATTATTTATAGTATTTTTAAGCCAAGTTTCGTTTGCAATAAATACATCTAAATTTAGTTCAATTAATTTACTATTGAATTCAATAATTTTGTTGCATATGCTTCTAGTGTTTGCAAAATAGCATTTTAACACATTATTATCTCTCTATATATAGAGTTAGTATAATATGGGAAAAAACTTTATTAAACTTATTATATATTTAATTATTTTATATATACTATTAATATATATATATATATATATAATATTTTTAATATTTTAATATTTAATTAATTTTGAATTTATCTAATATTTAGTTAATATAGTTTTAAATATTTTATTTAGCTATTTATTTTAATTGTTGAAAAAAATCTATTAAAACTTATTTAGATAGTAAAACATTACAAATAGTTATATAATACATAATTATTTTATATTAAACTATAATATATATTTATTTTTAATTTAGTAATTTATGTCTATTTTATTTTTATTTATTTTTTTAGGTACAATAGTCAGTCCACAGTTGCTAATGGTGTCGGGTGTAGGACCGGCCGATCATCTGAAATCAATCGCCGGTATCTCTGAAATCTATTCAGACATACCAGCCGTCGGCGACAACTATTCAAATCATTTGACTATTGTATTGCAGTTTCCGTTAAGTCAGCCGAAAAATATGGTTTGGCCAATGCCTACAATAGATAATCTAACACAACTGTACGAGTCGACTGTCCTCGGTACAGGTCCATTGGCACAGTTTCCCATATCTATAATGTATTGGTCCACATCAGCATCGGATAATAACAACAATACAACAACAATAGATAATCCGGATGTCTATTATGAATCAATGGTCTTACCCGTAATGGCCATGGATTCTATGATAATCTATCCGACAAGTGGCCGACCGTTAAGTACGGGTACCGTTCGGCTGAACAATAGCAGCCGTATCGAAGATCAGCCGCTAATTGACCCGAAGTTTTTATCGGTCGCCGGCGATCGCCAAACGTTTCGCCAGTCGGTTATCGATGTTTTCCGATTTGTCGAGACGACCAGTTTCGGCCAATACGTTAGTATACCCAGTGAACCGATGGAGCCGTGCCAGTACTGTCCGCCGGGTAGCGGTCCAGTCTATCAATGTCTTAGCTATATTGACTGTCTGATTGAACAATGGGCCGAAAGTCTATATCATCCGGTCGGTACATGTCGTATGGGTGATCCCCAGCGCAGGGATACTGTAGTCGATCTCCGATTGCGTGTCAAAGGTGTCCGCGGGTTGCGTGTAGTCGACTCATCCGTCTATCCGGAGATTATGAATTCGCATACTATGGCAGCGGCAATGTTGGCCGGGGAGATGGGCGCCCGATTCATACATGAGGACAATATTAATAATACTAGTAAATAACAATTAACTAATAATAATTTTTATAATTAAATAATTTACTAAATGTTTAATTTTTTCCCCATATTTAGTCAAAACTAGACAAACCATTATCACCGGTATTGTCGACAATTATAACCAATTGACTGTCATTATTACGATTGTATACATAGTATTGTTTACACTAATGTTTTTATCAGTAATATCTATAAGAAAATCAATGATTATATTTTTGGCTATACTTTTCGTATCTAATTTTCTATACTTTTTATAATTAATGTCAAATTATTTGTATTGTTTTGTTGTATTTTGATTTTTATTATTATCTTACTATTGATTTTCAATTTTAATATCTTAAAAATTAATTGATTGTGAAAAAATATATTTCATGTTATTATTATTATTATTATTATTACAATGAATAGTATACACAAAAAAACAACTAAAAATATTTTGCATAAAATTTCATTAAAATATATTTATTTTCTTAAATAAATTTATTTTCTACTATTAATTATAAATTAAAGTAATATTATTTTAAAAATAAAAGTTTCATATTTTAATATAAAAATGTAATAATCTATAATTACTAAATTAATTTTAATTCAATGTTTAATTTAATTTTTATAATCTGATTAATTTTTTTCAATTAATTAACTTATAATTACTTATTATAATTAAATATTTAAAAATATAAATTTATTCAATTAATTGTTATAGTTTAACTAAATTTTAAATAAAATGTGTTGTTTATATAAAACATTTAGGTTTTAATTATTTATTGAAAACTACTATCATTTAAATTAAATATTTTTTTTTTAAATATTAATAATAGATTACTTATTATATTATTTTCTAACAAATAAAAAAAAAACATTTAATGAAACAAAACATAAAAATTTTTGAAAATCATTGAAATATTTAGACAACAAATTATTTTTACAACTTATAAAATATTTAGCATAAAATTATTATATTAACAATAATAATAATAGTCATGTATTTATATTTTGTATTAAATTTATAATAATAACTACATATTAACAAAAAAATAATAAAAATATTTTTTGTTGATTACAACAACAATATAAAACTAAATAAAATAAATAATTTTTTTTGTGTATTAAATGTTGTCTCAAAAAATTAATATTTTTTTTTAATAATTATTGATTAATTTTAAACAAACAGAAAATATAATTATTTTTTTTAAAAAAATGTTTATAAATATCTGTATAATAATAATCATTGCATTTATAATACTATGCATTACAACAATAACAACAAATGCCAATCAATTGCCGCCAAATATTATCATCTTTTTGGTGGACGATATGGGTTGGGCTGACGTCGGCTACCGTTCCGATCATATGCTAACACCTAATATCGATAGCCTATCGGCCACTGGTATAACACTAAACAGTTATTATACTCAGCCGTTATGTACGCCCAGTAGAGGTGCACTACTATCGGGTATACATCCCATACACTCCGGTACTCAGCACCTGGTGTTCAATGAACAGCAACCTATTGGCTTACCGTTAGACCATAAATTGTTACCCCAGTATCTCAAACAATATGATTACGCAACACATGCTATCGGTTAGTAATAAATAATTTTTTTTAACAAAAAAAAACAATTAATTAGTTTATTTAATACAAATATTTTATCAAAATTTTTAAATAATAAATTTTTGTTTCTCTTACATTTAACTAATATATAATAAATATTTTTATTTATTTTTTTAATATTATCAAAATATATATTATTATTATTATATACTGTACATATAGTAGTACTGTATAAATATTTAAAAAATTAAAATTTAAATATAATCTAAAAATATTAGTATTTTATTTTATAAAATTACTTTTTTTTATTAAAATTAGTATTTATTATAATTATTTATTTATTTTATAATAATAATATTTATTATTTATTTATTTATTAAGGTAAATGGCATCTGGGTTTCTATAAACGTCAATACACGCCCACCTATAGGGGGTTTGACACACATTTTGGTACATGGGGTGGTTACGGTGACTATTATAATCATACCATGTGTACGGGTACCAATATAACCGGGTATACCAAATGTGGACTAGACTATCGTCAAAATATGCAACTATTGGTTGATAATCAACAACAATATTCAACAAAAATCTATACCAAAAAAACCGTAGATATTATCAGCAAACATAATACTAGTCAACCCCTGTTCCTTTATATTGCCTACCAGTCCCTACATGCTAGCTATGCCGATAATATACTACAGTCACCATCACTCCAGGCCAATGATAATGATGAGGACAACTATTTATTAAATAATAATAATAAGTTTTCCTATATTGAGTCCCGTAATCGCCGACTGTATGCCTCAATGGCCTACAGTATGGACCAATCGATCGGTGAAATTGTTGGCCAACTATACGATCGGTCAATGTTAGCCAATAGTATTATACTATTTACCAGCGATAATGGCCCCCAGGCTATCAAACAAGTCAATGCATTTTGTAAATTAGTTTTTTTAGTTAATTTTTAATTAATTATTTAATTTTTAAAAAAATAATTAATTAAAAATTTCTATTTAATTATTTATTTATTTTTATTTTTTAAAAAAATTAATATATTATCTAGCTAATTTTGGTTCAGCTGTACCATTGCGTGGAGTTAAATGTTCATTATTTGAAGCAGGTAAATTAATTAATTATTTAATTAATTTTTTATTAAAAAAAATATTATATTAAATATTGTTTATTATTATTATTATTTTTCAATTTAATTATTATAACACTTTTATTTAATCTATTTATAGTATTAAAGTATATATTAATATATAAATATTTGTAGAATACAATTATTTTTAAATATTTTTTATATATATATGCTAATTTTTATTTACCTATTTTATCTGCATAATAATGTGTGTCTATGTATGGGCACAGGTATCCGAGTGCCGACATTCCTATGGAGTCCATTATTAATTAATAATAACAGCAATGGCCATGTATCTGATGAGCTTATACATGTTACCGATATATTACCCACACTACTTGAAGCTATCGGTGCTACCAATGATTTGCTTGAATTTAGCAATAACAATATTAGCTATGGTAATCATATTTAATAAATAAATTATAATAATAATAATGTATTTATTTTGACCCCCTGGTCACATACACACACACATATATATAAACACACATACATACACACACACATATATATAAACACACATATATATACAAACATATATACACACACATATACACACATATATACATACACATATATATATATATAAACACACACACATACACACACACATATACAAACATATATACACACATATATACAAACATATATACACACACATATATATAAACACACACACATACACACACAATATATAGGTATATCGCAATGGAAAAACTTAGCTCAGGAGCACCGGGATGACAGTCAATCAATAGGAAAACGTACGGAACTATTGCACAATATTGATCCCGTATGGAATCATTCATCAATTAGATGGAATCAATGGAAATTGATACAGGGTCCCAGCGATCCAGGTGCTGCCAAACAATTTCTAACATGGTATCCAACTGTACCCCTGGAGGACAGTCAACAGTTTATTAGTATAGACAGTATAGCTAGAATGGAGTTACTTAGAGATGATCGGCTAAATAGTCAATCCTATAGGGTATTGACTGAAATGAATCGCCGACCACCCGATTATACAGTCCTATCGAAAGCTGTTATTGAATGTCCATCGGTTAGCACTACCGGTGCCCATAAGTGTCAATTGGAAACTGATTTGTGTTTGTTTGATATACTAAACGACCCGTGCGAGCACCGGAACGTTGCCGCCGACTATCCCCTAGTGGTGGATAGGTTGTGGCAGCGATTAGTTGAATTGAATCGGACATCAGTTGAACCCCTGGCACTGGCACCAGTAGATGATAGTAGTCTACCCGATAGACATGGTGGTGCTTGGGTTAGTTGGTTAGATGATGATGATGATGATGATGCCTATTACCATGGTCATTTTGATGAACTATAATGTGAAAAAAACTATTGAATAAAATATGTATTAAAATAATAATAATAATAATAATTTTTTATTTTTAAAGCCAGCTAATTATATAATTATTATGTAATTTTTTTTAAAAAATTTATTTAAAATACATTTAGTAAAATAAAAATTTTATTTATTTATTTTTTGTTTTTAATTTGCATAGTATTGTAAAAATTTTGCTAGATCATTATTTAACTAACTAATTATCTATCTATCTAACAGAAAATATTTAAATTGCTAACATTTAGACAATTAAAATAAAATAGATATTATTTTTTCATATATATATATAAAAAATAATATTTTCCATATATATATATATATAAAATATTTTCTATATATTAATAAAAATAATAAAAATAATATTTTTAATTACACAATAGCTTAAGTAATAATGAAATCATTGTTTAAATATAAGTATATATTGTTAATATTTTTATATATTTGTATATTTATAAGTGTAAGTTTATTTTTTGAACATTTTATTTTTAATTTATTTTTTTTTAAAAATAAATATATATATATTCTAATTAACAGCAATTAATAACTAGAATATTTGGCATTACCTTGGTAGATTTGGCATCAATCTATCAAACTGATCTAGTTGGTCTATCCAATGTACTAACAACATGTGCATCAATTGGCATATTATCATTTCTATGTAATTATTTAAATTATAATACTGTATATATATATAAAATGTTTAAAAAAACTAATAATTATATTTATCTAAAAACTTAATTAATTTTTTTTAAATATGTTTTTTTAATTTGTTTTCTAATTAGTCAACATATTATGTCGTCTAATAAACAAACAGTTAGTATTTGCTGTTATGTTGCTATTATTGGGCCTAACTATAACATGGATGCCACGATTGCCCAAATTAGGCTATTTTTATGCCGACCTTATTGTTTATATACTGGTTTCCGGTAGTATTTTGTTCATATCGGACGTATGGATAGTTGAAATGTGGTCGGACAGGTGCGGCCCGTATATTCAGGCCGGTCGTATGATGGATAGTCTATCGGCAATTGTCGGTCCATTGATGGTACAACCGTATTTGGGTAGTATAGCTAGAAATAATGGTCAACAGTTAATACTAGTACCCTATCTGATAATTGGTTTAATGAATATTTGTTGCGGTTTAATAATGGGCATGGTATTTTTATGGAAACCATATGTACCTAGATCAATTAACTTAGATAATCAAAATGAAACTACTAGTACTACTACTACTACTACTACTACCAGTAATAATAATAATAATAATAATATAATTATTATTAATATTAGACAAACAAAATTCATGGAAAAAATACGTTTATATTGTAACGGTTTTCCAGAACAGATTCGACAAGATTTATCCGAAAACCGTCAAAAATGTTGTCTAATATTTCTAACTATAGCAATGTTTGCCCAATTAGTATGCATACAAAGTCAACAAATTAGTTATTTTCCTACATTTGTACAGTTATTTGGCAACAACCATACTATCAGTCAATCGCAATCAGCATTCATGACTACCGCCCTATCAATTGGACAGTCGGTTAGTCAACTGTCCTGTATAGTCATCATTAAGTTTTCGGGTCCTAGTCTAATATTGTTCGCTAGTTTGGTCGTACTATTTGTATCGACACTACTGTTAGTATTTGTTAATCAATTACAGCTAACTGGGCTTATGTATGCCTCCTGTGTACTGTTTGGTGTCGGCTATGGACCGATACCGGCCAGTTTGTATACATTACTCGAACGTATAGTACCCGTAACCGACACTATAGGTGCACTGATTATTGTAGCGTACAGTTTGCTAAACACTATACTAACTCAGCTAACCGGCCGCTATCTACAGGACAATCCAATGGTATTTGTTTATCTGAATTTGGGATTCATATCGGCATCACTATTAACTATGACCCTGATACAATTTTTGATTTATAAATTTAAAATTTTCAAACAATAACAAAACATATTAATTAACTTTTTTATTTATTTATCATTAGTAGTAGTATACATAGCACTTGACACGCGATTTAATCCTCCTATAGTTTTAATCCTTTAATCCCCTACTAATCCTCTTATCAGTTAATCCGATCAGTCCGTGCGTAAAAGTTATGAACGAAATAGTACTACTACATGTAGTAGTAGTACTATTGACCATTCATAAATTATGTAAATGTGTAAAAGTGATGTTATGCAATATGTCACGTGACATATTGCATCACATGAAATAAAAAATGTTTTTTAATTATGCTTCTATTTTTTGATTAATTAATTAAATTTATTTATTTATCATATTTCAAGTTAAATACAATTAAATAGTTAAATACAATTAAATAGTTAAATACAATTAAATAATTAAATACAATTAAATAAAAGTTAATTACAATTAAGTATAATATAATTAATAAAATAATTTAAATTGGTATTTATAATTATTACTCATAATAATTATTCATTATTATTTTTTAACAAAAAAGTATTTGTTTTTATTTTTAATAAAATTATATTTTGATTTAATAGGTATAAATTCTAAATATATTTTCAATGATAAATTATTTAAACACTCACGTTGATAAATATACTTATTATTATCAGAGTTTATAATAATCAACTGTAACCCTAGATTACCTTTTATATTTACAGTTAATAGATAATCTTGCATTAAGTCCCAATTGTGTGACCCTAATTTCTCACTATAATTGATCTCAGCTAAGCGACATAACTTTTGTGTACCACGAGTTTGAATGTTTGGACTATATCCCTTTGCAGCAATAATTTTAAACCAATGAAGATTATTGGATAGTTTTTGTTTATCAAAGCCATAATAATGCCAGACGCTTCCTATCCAAATAGCATGATATCCAGATGAATAAGATTTGCAATTAATTGTGATAACACTTCGCTTTTTAAAACTTTTTATTAACTGCTCTTTTTGATTATTCACAACAGGTATTATTTCAATTGATTGTGATTTAATTGTTTTTGAGTCGCCGGTGTTAAAATTCATATTTTAATGATATACTAATTATCACACTACAAACACGTAAAAATAAATAAAAAATACGTTTTAATAACACTATAATATATAATCTTATTGAGATTGAAGTATATATTGCTTGCAATTTACTGTGCGCTATATTAAGCGCCTGCGTTTAAATAAAATAATTATTTATGACGCAATGCTTATTAATATTTATAACACAATTAGATATTGTTATAATTATTATATATCTAAAATAAATAATATATATTTATATATTATATTATTTAAAATAACAAATTATAATAAAATTATTAACATACTAATAATTGTAATATTAGTTATATATCAACTAACAATAATTTAATAATAAAGTACTTTAAAACATTAATATACTTATAAGATTACCTGTTTATAACATGTATAATAAGATAAATTAAATGAAGTGAACGTTTAAAGCTATGCAAAGCTAATGAAATGCGTTAACTGCTATGCAATGCTTGCAATATGTGGTACTATGTATTACGCCTGCGCACAAAGTGTAAATGCTGTTAATGCATAAATGTTGATGCAATCATATGTTTATCAAAAAATATATATAATTATAGATGATGCAATGAGTTTCTTGATATTATTATTAACACTAATATATTACTATTATTTCTTTTACTTAAAATAATCATAACACTAGAATAGTAGTTAACTCTTGTTATAACTTAGTATAATAAGTAATAAAATAATTTTTTTGTTACAATTGAAGTAAGTTTTGATAAAATTATTTAAAATAAAAAATGATGCAATGCAAAATTCAGTAGTTCTTATTATTACACTAAAGACTATTATTATAAATAATTATAATATACTGTGAATTAAAATAGTTTATTACAAGTTTTACGATTATTTATATATTAACTAATATATATAACTTAAGTGCATCCATTAATACACTCTAATAGAATAATGCTAGATATTAAGATAGCTTGTATGCAATACGTTGAGCTATGTACTACGTCTGCGCAAAACCGGTTATTAAATGTTGATTCAATATAACTGGTTCAAACCGGTTTATTAGTGTTAATGCAATCACATGATTAAAGAACCGGTCATTACTAGTTTAAAAATATAGATAAAAATAATGAATTCCTAAACCTAGTTATAGTCATTATATATATATATATATATATATATATCGTAGCTATAAGTTTAATAAGGTATATATTAGATATTGTTTATAATACGGATTKGCTGTATATACTAGTGGTTCTGTAATAAAAATATATACATATATATATATTTAGACAGTTATGATAGAAAATTTTTCGTTGAGTTATATACTAAAGATATAATTTTTTGAAACTGTTTTTTTCGAAGATTAAGTTTTAAAAGCAATATTTAATTTATTTATGTTAAAGTTATATTGTATAAGTAATTTTCTTTGCGTTGTAAAGAATATATGTATTACAGTATATTATACTGTATAGTAACTTGTAAAGTATATAAAATAAAGAGTAACTTGGTTATATTAAATCTATGTACTGTATATAAGTGATAATTAAACTACTACTTAAATTGTTATTAATAATATCTTAATTTATATTAATTATCAATATTGTACTATAAAAAATACCTATTAATTTATCTATAATGTTATAATATTATCATACTGAGTACAAGTATTAATATTACTGCATTATATTCTATTATTTTTACATTTTAGTAATATATATCTATGATATATTGTACCAAAACATATACTATTTTTGAAATATTATACTACGTCAACTTTTAATTACATTAACTATGTAAGAAAGTTTGGTCATTATTCCGGATCTTCGGATCAGTAATCCATCTCCGAGACAGATACAAGACTTCAAAATAATATTAGTTATATATAACGCAGCTATCAATAAACAGAACTTCAAATGGGTCATTCATATACACTGTGACGTAATAGATAAGCTATAAAAATTGACCATACCCCTTAATCTTTGATAAGTAATCTTTTAATTCATAAATTACGTTACAGTTCCTTATAAAATATATCTAGCTTTACTTATTGTTTTGTAAATTTTACTTAAAATTCATTTTAAGGCTATATGACGGTTAACTCACAGACTAAACCGTCAAATACTAATATTATTTTATTTAATAATATATTAACTTAAAATTAATAATACATAATACATTTTATTAACATATTAAAACATATTACACACATAAAAATTATTTTAAAAGAAAACTATTTTATTTTATATTATAAATAAATAATATTGTACTATAAATTTATAAAGATACATTACTATTATGTTATATATTTATATTTCTACATTAATTTTAAATATTTGTACATTTTACTAAAATATATCTATTATTTATTGTACTCTAACATATATTATACTAATTTTTATAATATTTTACTAGTTATACATTATAATACCCTATTATGTCATAATATACATTGTATTGTACTATTATTTTTAACTATTATTGTTGTAATATAGTAGCATTGGAATAATTAATTTCTATATTAGATTATATACTAATAAACTATTTAGTAAAATTATATATATTTACTTCATAGTTAATTTTATTACCATAATTTATTTAAATCTTTTTTCAGTATTACATTTTCATATTACAATTCGTATTATTAAGTTATATAACTAAATTATATTACACTATTACTGTATTATTTGACTATACTAACCTTATATTATTTTATTAATACATTAAAATTATTAAACACTAATTTATTTATATTTTATTATTGTTTATTCAATATAATTAAAAAAATAAATTTTTTATTATATATAATAAATTCATTTTTAAAACATTATTTTAAAAATTATTGGCATATTACAATTACAGAAGTTAAAATTTATTATAAAAAATATAATAAATTATATTACAAATACACTATTTTACATTTTAGTGATTTTATATTATACTAGTATGATATTTTACAAATAATTATAATATATTAAACTATTACAATATATTTTACTATATATGTATGATATATTATTAGCATATTAATTAAACATTATGATATATTTTTAAATATTAAATAATATATCTTTATTATGATCAACGAAAACTAAAACATTAATTTACATTATGACTGTTTTAACATATTATAATATATAAATAATTATATACTATTAATAATCTTATACATAATATCTTTTATATTCAATAACTAAAATAAATAACGATTTTATATTGTTTTTTAATAATACTGTCTTATTTTACACTATTTCTATATTAATTTATATTTTAACTATTCTATATAACACTGTTTAATTACATTTACCTATACAATTACACAAACAGATAATACAGTTTAAAGATATAATGTTATTTTTATATTTATGTTATACTGTACTACATTATACCATTAAACAGTATGACCATGCCATATTTAATTAAAGCAGTAATTATTAATATAACGTTATAATTTATTGGTTTTGCATTTGATAATAATATAAAATATTTGAAATATACTCAACAAACTAATTTATATTAATTAATAATAGTATAATTAAAAAAATATGTTTAATCCTATTACACATCTAAATTATTTGATCTATAACTAACTAGCTTAAACACAATTATGTAGTATACTTACACCATTTAAACAGTATAACTATATTATCCTACACTATAGTCAACTAATTTTTAAGATAATTATAGGTTATAGCACAATATTTATAATAAATATTATTATATTTTACTTTATAACTATGTATATTTAAAAGTATCTTTACAATAATTTACGACATAACAATGAAATATTTCTTTATAATACGTTATATTGTATCATATAATATAACTTTATTATATATAACTATATCTATACTAATTAAAAATGTTATTATAAT